AATAAAGCTTAAGATAATTTCTCAATAATGTTGTTTTATGTGATACACCACAAAACAAAATCACAATGTAAAATAGTAAAAATGTAGGTTTTTTTGTCTGAAACGTTTCGTCGCTATTTTATTTTGTTATTTTCAATTTTCAAGTACTTTCTGTATATAGTATACTTTATAATAATAACATTTATATTTGATAAAAATTATTATAATGCGATATATCGATGTTGCATGGTAGGCCCTTGTTTGATCAATATTGATCGATCTTCCGTTTATTTCTCCCCTGGATTTTACATTTCTTGAACATCCGTGTTGTAAATCAGCTCAGAGATAGATTTAATTCAAAACTTGAATCTGTGTGAATGCAGTTATGAAATAACACGTTCTGTACACTCGTCGGAAATAGCCATGTGGCCGGACAAGTCTGTTTTTGGGAAGACGAAACATTTCATGACGAGAAAATTGTTCTGCTCGGGATTTCTTGATATGCGGTTTCTTGTCTTTGGGCCTTGGTCGGGCCTTTCTCATATTTCAAATATTTCTGATTGACTTTCTTTTTAGGTTTTGATCAGACCTTCTTAACTATTAGTTACAATGTGCTACTGAGGATTTGTTGTAATTAATTAGTTTCCACATAATAAACAACCAATTAATTATATTTTTGAAATGATATGTAAGTGTGTATAGAGAGAGAGAGGGGGGAGTGAGATTGAGAGAGGGAGAGGGGAGAGAGAGAGAGAGAGAGAGAGAGAGAGAGAGAGAGAGAGAGAGAGACAGGCCGACAGACAGACAGACAGAGACAGAATGGAGTGAGTGTGTGAGAGAAACAGAGAGAGAGAGAGAGTGAGTGAGTGAGAGTGAGAGAAAGAGAGAGAGACAGCAGACAGACTGACAAAATGAAGTGAGTGAGAGAAACTGAGAGAGAGAAAGGAGGGAGGGAGAGAGAGAGAGACAGACAGACAGACAGACAAAATGAAGTGAGTGAGAGAAACTGAGAGAGAGAGAGGGAAGAGTATGGAGTAAGTGAGAGAAACAGAGAGAGAGATAGAGAGAGAGAGAGAGAGAGAGAGAGAGAGAGAGGGAAGAGAATGGAGTAAGTGAGAGAAGCAGAGAAAGAGAGAGAGAGAGACAGACAGACAGGCAAAATGAAGTGAGTGAGAGAAACTGAGAGAGAGAAAGGAGGGAGAGAGAGAGAGACAGACAGACAGACAGACAAAATGAAGTGAGTGAGAGAAACTGAGAGAGAGAGAGAGAGAGAGAGAGAGAGAGAGAGAGAGAGAAACAGAGAGAGAGAAATATAGAAGGTGTGAGATAGAGAGAAACAGATTTACAAAGAATGTTACAGGAAGAGAGAGATTACCAGAGTGAGCGAGAGAGAGAGAGAGGGAGGGAGGGTGAGGGAGAGGGAGAGAGAGAGAGAGAGAGAGAGAGAGAGAGAGAGAGAGAGAGAGAGAGAGAGACAGGCCGACAGACAGACAGAGACAGAATGGAGTGAGTGTGTGAGAGAAACAGAGAGAGAGAGAGAGAGAGAGAGAGAGAGAGAGAGAGAGAGAGAGAGAGAGAGAGAGAGAGAGAGAGAGAGAGACAGGCCGACAGACAGACAGAGACAGAATGGAGTGAGTGTGTGAGAGAAACAGAGAGAGCGAGAGTGAGTGAGTGAGAGGGAGAGAGAGAGAGAGAGAGAGAGAGAGAGAGAGAGTGAGTGAGTGAGTGAGTGAGTGAGAGACAGACAGACAGGCAGGCAGACACGAGAGAGTGGCCAACCGGCTTAAATATTATGGGTTAACAATTTGGAATGGAATTCTTGTCCAAAAATGTCTTGATTTGTCTTAATCTTTACAAGATTTCACCTCCGAACAACTCTTTCGTCCGTTTCTTATAGGCAAATGTTTAGAGAGAGAGAGAAAGAAAGAGAGAGGGGAGAGAGAGAGATGTACAGTCTGGCACAGAAAGAGTGGCAAACAGGCATAACTATTAAGGGTTAACATTTTGGTGGAAATGAATGGAATTCTTGTCCAGAAATGACAACTCTTTTGTCCGTTTCTTGCAGGCAAATGTTTGCAGAGAGAGAGAAAGAGAAAAAAGTCGATCGCATATAAAGTTTAGGGACCACTTTCCCTGGCCGTTGAACCTCTAAGCAAGGCCGAACTTTCTTTCGGTTCACACCATTTTCATCGTCGGGACTTCCGATGTATGGTCGTAATTGTTAATTATTATTCCACGGACATTTTCCATTCTTGGAGAATGAAAGGCGCCAAAATTGCAAGTCCCCTGTGACCATTATTCTTGGTATGAAAAGAAGGATGGAGTTTTTCCTAAAAGAATGTTGATTCTTCGTTATTTACGCCATTAGATTGAAATTCGACATGATTGCATAATCCAACGGTGGTTTGGGATGTGTCTTGTATCTTAATTGTTCCGGCTGTTCAACGTTGTTTGAAATTTTGATACTCAAGCCGACGTTTCTAGTGAGACAATCATACAGTTGAACAATTGATTCAAACCAGAGGAAGAACGATTCAAGGTAAAAAGGAAGAAAGTCAGAAACCAGTATATGTACTAGAATTATTATTTGCCAGCGTGAAACCACTGGCATGGATTTCTTTAAGATCGTACCATCTTCAATTACACACAACCCGCAAATTGTCGTGTTTCACTGCTTTTTCAACGGCTTAAATATAAAATGACGTCCCCCTTCTTTTCTTTTGTACCCTAGGATATGGAAAATAGAGAATAATTATTGATATAGGTCGCAACGCTATTGCGTGGAATTTTGTTTCTTGATTGGTTCTCCATTCCGTTCCGCTATTTTTATTAATTGGATTGTAGATAATGTACGAGGAGTCGTGATTCAATTATGCCTTGCCTCGACCTCCGTGAAGGACGAGACCATTCGTCCTCTTAAGAAAGTTGTTAGCTAGACGATCGCAAGAAAGATTTTAGTGTGTAAAAACACAGCAAAATTGCGTGATCCCATTTTTAAGCGTTGGTTCTTGTGTACTAAAGAAGGGTTTTTCTTTGTACTTATATCTTTAAAAAATATGATCATAGAACTGGTAAAAGAGGCTCAAAAGATCTGTTGTTTTCTGTTTAAAAGCCAAGGCTACTACTTGTGTTCAGGTTCATCTAGCTACTCCTAGATCATAGGTTTATAAGAAGTTACCTTAGAAGTTACTTTAGACAAAAATTTATGTTTGTCGATACGTCATCTCATATCTCATATGTGGTTTCACAGTTAGCACTTAGCAAGGCAGACTACCTCCTCTTCCCAAAGTCTGCATTTCTTCCTGTCTTTTTCTTCAGATGCCCTTTTAATTAAGCTGATATTTTAAGATTGTTCCTTTTGAGTTAAAAGTTAGAAGATTTAGGTTAAAGGGTGGTGTGTTGCAGTTTCTTTCTCTGCTTAAAAGTGTCTGCAGGTAGTCTCATTACTGGGCTTCTTCAGATAGAAATGCCCTGTCAACAGAACTGATATTGTAATTAAATATTATAAATTTTTATCTCAGCCAAGACCTTAGAAAGAATAATTAATTGATTGAAAGAAGTAACTTAGTCAATTGACTACAAAAACGTAAATGGATTGATATTCTAAGATTGCTTCTCGTAATTTGAAAGTTAAAAGTTAGTCAGTTCAGGAGAAAAGTTTCTTCTACTTCCCAAAAAAAGTGTGCAGATTGGTTTTATTCTCTGTTTTCTTTCTGATATTAGAGCGTTGTTGACTGATCAAACAATAATCTAACATCACTGTCAGTAGAGTTGAAGTTAAAAGTTAGCAGTCTTCCCTCTTTCAAAAAGAGTCTGCAGGCCGATTCCTGCCTGTTTCTTCAGCTATGCTCAGGTCTCACATTACAGTTTTTGAAAGGTTTTTGTCACTTTAGGTCAAGGATTGGTATGATGTAGTGTTTTCCTTTTCCCAAAAACGTCCACAGATACATTAATTTCTGAGATTCTTCAGTTGCTAGTTTCAAAATTGGTTTAAATGAATGGTTGTTATGTGGCAGTCTTCCTGTTGCCAAAGGTTCAGGCAAGTGATGCAGTGCCATGTCATCAGGTGTTCTGGACTGTTTCTTTTTTGTTGACAGTTTAAATTTAATCGGCTTAAGTGAATAGTTGGTGCGCAGCAGTTTCGCCCTTTTTCTTTGTCTGCAAATAGATTCATTCATGTGTTTCTTCAGATAACAGTACCATGTCAACAGTAATGATATTCTAAGATGGTTTCTTTTTAGTTGAAAGTTAAAAGTTAGTGAAGACGAATTGTCGGAGTGCAGCTGGGTCTTCCTTTTCCTAAAATTATCTGCAGAACGATTTATCCCTGTTTGTTTCTTCAGCTATGTTCAGAAGATTCCACATATTGAAATTAGTAATTTAGTTTCTTTAGGTGAATGGATGGTGTGAAGCAGTTTCTTCCTTTTTCCAAGTGTCTGCAAAACTAAGCTTTTATTTAATTAATGTAATAAATTTAATAATAAAATAAATAATAATAAATTATGGGGCTAGCTCTTTTTAAATGGGTCCATATGTTTGCCAATTGTGTCCAACTCTTTTAGAAAAATCTTGTTTAATAACCTCAACAGCTTTTAAAGATTGTTTATGGGACTTGGCACACAAATCAGAAGGACTTTATTATTCTTACAGAAATTATATATTGTTATTACATTTTCTGTTCTTATTTGATGCTATCCAATTTACTTTAGATACTAGTGATATAGTTAATGTTTGGAGTCTCACAACGTTGCATTATAAGCACTTCCTTGTTACCATATATAATGTTTTAGGGTTTTTTGTGTTTTTTTTAACTTACAAAATTCAAACAACTTGTACAGTCAAAATATGTCTATTTGTAAATTTTCTCATAAGTGAAATGTATCAATATTGATTTGTTTTCTAATTAACTTTATTGTTTACATTTTCCAATCTATTTATACTGAATGGAATTTGGTACTCATTGCCTTAACTTATTTTTATACTGATAAATCAAAAATTAAACATTGTATAAATGTTTTCAGATCTGCAGTTGGCAGCTGAACTTGGAAAAACTCTGCTGGAAAGGAACAAAGAGCTGGAAACCTCACTGAGGCAGCACCAGAACATTGTTGAAGATCAATCTCTGGAAATAGAGGTATACAGCTTGTTTTTGCTTTTATCCCAAAAATATGTCCTGTGAACTGTGACCGTAGACCAAATAAACAATCATTCCGTTTTACAACAGTACTTAAGGAAACAAACAGCTGCCCTCCGTGAAGTAAACGATTCTAGACTTAGAATCTACGAACAACTCGAAGTAAGCATCCAGGAATTGGAAACGAACAACCATAGGCTTACAACACAGTCCATTAACGATAAGAAACATATAACCAGGTATAATAAACAAATCTGGTTATTTGTTGTTAAATTGTGGTAAATTTGAATTTTTTTTCAGCTTAGAAACTCAGGTAGAAAAACTAGAGCATCGTTGTGAAGAACTTTTAAGGGAGGTTGAAGACTATGAAAGAAATAAACAGGATGGACCAAAGGGAGTGATCGAAACCAAATCAGATGAGGCGCAGGCTCTCAGAGACCAACTGTCTGAAGTTCGCACCCAGAATTCAAGGCTACAAACCAAGCTTATTGAACTTCAAGATACTATCGACACCGTTACTCAGGTAAAGGAGTGTGCTTAAAAATTAATTTACATCTTGGACTCATTTGAATTTGTTTGAATCTCTAATTGTAGGAGAATATTCGTTTGGAAGAACAGGTCTTGTCTATGCAAAGAAAGCAGGAAGAAATGGTAGTCATAGACCAAGTCAGGTTAGTAGCACATTATTTTTCTAATTGACTAGGAATTTTGTCAATGTTTTTGTATCTCATTAAAATTATTTTTGTATTTTCAGGCAAGGGGAAATTTGTAGGCGATGCCTACGAGCTCAGGAAGAAATGTCAATGACTGGAGATGAAGATGATGCTTCAGTTATCGATTCACTGATGAATGATGACAGTTATCAGTCTTTACTTATCAAGGTAAATTACCGACATATCTACAAGTAGAAATTTTTATAATACGTGACGATGAGCCAGCTTGACCATCCCTCATCCTTTTTTACCTGCTGTTACTCGTTTATAATCATCATTGTCTTCATTGTGTTTATTTTTGATTTACTGTGGAATAAATCTGGCCATTTTCCTGTTTGTTATAGGCAAGAGATGGTAAAATTTTGTGTTAAAGAACAAGTTATAAAGAACTCTTAGAACCTATTAAATTTTCATTAAAATTTAAATTTTTTTAAGTGATATAAACATTCATTGTAATTTGTTTTAGGAATCTCTTGGAGAATTAGCTGAGCCAAACAACCCTTACAGATTGCTTGTTGAAAAGTACGAAGCCTTGTTGAAGGTGCAGCAAACCCAAAGAACAGCAGGCATCATCAAACCTCATACAACGGAGTCGACCAAATGCCTGACACTCCAAGAAGAGCTTCAAATGTCCGGTGAATTTTCATGCTTCCACAGAGAAGAAGACGACGGAGAGTTTGAGACTGTGATTCAGGCAACAAAACCCCAATCGACACCCGATTTTTCAGAAGCGGAAACGTCCTCCTCTGGATTTTCTGATGAAGCCATTAACAAGTCGACTCAAACCGAAGCACACATTCCCCCAGGATCGTTTTTGTGTTCGATTACAGATGGAGACGACTGTAAATTTAGTATTTACGATGAAGCTAGTCCAATTGAAACAAGGTTTAGAAAGACCCCAGAATACAGAAGACTTTTTAGAGAAATATTTGATGTATTGAAGAGAGCAGCTGAAGCCAAAGACGAAGGAGAAAATCTTCCTTTGTTAGAAGATTTAACTCCAATGTGTGAAATAGCTCCAAAAGTACCGCCTGCGACTCCATCTGTGGAAGATGTGCCTCAAGTGGCCGAAGTGAAACCTGAAACGCCTATGAAAAGGGACATACTAGAACAACTCTCACAGGGGGTCAGCACTTCCAAAAAGCACAGATCACGAAGACAGAAACGGTCCTATGACCTCCCGCCACCATCTGTCGGAGTTGGAGTTGTGGTAAGCACAGGAAAAGGCGTGAGGAGGCGAAGAGAAAACCGGCAACGATCCTCTGATTCTGGAAGGAGCACACCCGACTGCACAAACAGGCCCAGACCGTTGAACCCTTGGATAAGTGAAGGAGTAGCTCAAAGCTCAGCTATCCATGAAGTAGCTAAGCTTAAACAGCTCGATAAGTCATACGCTGAGGTCTTGCGGCAAGGAAGGCAAAAGAGTCAACAGAAAATGAACAACTGACAATAATCAGATCCCCTTGTGGATTTGTATTGTTGACTTTTCCTTCTTACATGTGAAAATTTTTTTCTTGTATTTTACATTCCAACAAATCTTCTCTTTAGAAGATAACCTAGTTTCCAACTGTATACAGTATTGTATATTCTTAAGTGTAATATTTTTATTTTATTTTAAATAATAATTGTACATTTTTGTTTCTTTTTTTAAGTTGATTTTGCTGGCACACAAAATTAAACAAAGTGCATGTAAAAAGCTTGTCTTAGAATCGTAGACAATTATGAATAAAAAATAAAATGTATTTGTTTGTGTAAAGAAATATTTAAGTGGATAATATAGTATTAATATCCAAACATTATAAATATTATACATACATACACATATATATATTTGTAAAATTTCCATCTTATATTAAAGTTGTGCCATTCATTAATAAAAACCTTTTAAGTTTCACTCAAACGTTTATTTTATTTAACACCAGATTTCCTTTTTTTTCTTTTATTTTTAAACAATTGAAGAAAAATTGAACTCTATCAGGATGGAGGCCACTCAGTCATAAGGCTACCTGCGTCCCAACTCTTCTTAACCCTAGTACGCACTGGGATTCTTTGTTCGGACTCTTCACCGAGGACCTGCATCTGGGTGACAAAAGGATCGTCCCCATGCTTATTTCGATCCTTGAATATCCCACAAATCCACCAACATGGTGGCTTTTTGTTAGCTCTTATTTTTTTTACTCTGTAGAGCTACGTAGTGCTACTGCAATCCCTGAGAGCGAGACCTCATTCGACATGGCTCAGACACAAACTTGATGCTTTCATGATTTCCGGAGCAACAATGTAGCGGGACAGTCTGCGACAAAGAGTCCAAACAAAGAATTCCAGTGCTTACTAGGCTTTAGAGTGATGGCCTGGCCTGTTGCAGTGTAACATCTGTCAGTATGTCTCGCTTTTTAATGTTTGACCCGCATTTATTGCATAACAATTGAAACTAACATAATTTTTGGATTTGTATAACAAAAAATCTATTTTATGTGAAAATTTAGTTTTCATTAGAAATTGTACTTTTTTTCAATCTGCTGATTAACAGTATTGTGGCAAACTATGCAATAAAATGAACACAATTCTGAGTGGATTGGAAAATGATGTATATAGGGTGAAAGCAGGGTCACTAAAACCAAAGGTAATTTTAAAAAAATCCATGCCCATCACAAGAAAATTATGAGAGGCCTGAACGGGAGTGGCGTCAGCCAGAATACGGGATGCTGGTAAACAATAGACCAAGAAGGTTTAACAAAATCAGCAAATACACAATATTGATTTTATTATTACAAAAGAAAATGTACAGTGAAAACTACATTACAATATCTCTCCGTAAGATAATACAGAGAAAGTGGTATGAAAGTTAAACAAAAAGTCCACCTGTTAAACGGTATAAAAAAAATAATCTCAGAAGTAGTCTGAAATTTTTTTTATTAGGTATGTAAACTAAAATTTGCAGAAATAAAGGCATTTACGATATAAATAAAAATCAATCGCCTACAATCATCTCAGGGTTGTCATTTCATGAAAAGTGCCTTATGTACTGTGTTTGTGTCAGGGACGATGCATCCTTTGGTCCCGATGCTTTTGGAAGCCGGGCTGTTATTGCTGAAATAATTTTTTTTTTAGTTTATGAAAGTCATACAAATTTGCAATTTTCAACTCACTTTGTCCTTGGTTTGACCAGAAGACATTTCATCGGCTGTCCGTCGAGCTGTCTGTTGTGATAAGTATCGACAGCTGTCACAGCATCTTCCATATTTTTATACACAACTTCGGCAGTCCCGGGCCTCACGACCCTCGATCCTATAAGAGTACCTATATCCTCGAACAATTCCTACAAAAAAAATTAAAATTTTTTTAAAGAAATTATTTACCTCAATTAAACTTAAACAAACCTTAATGTCTTCATGGGTTACAGAGGGTTGAAGATTGGAAACGACAATCCTGTATCCTTCTTGCCTTATAGGCTCCAATCGGGATTTAATATCTTCCTTTGCTCTAGAAATAACCAAAACAAATATAAAATTGTAGAAAATATTAGGAAAAAAAATTTTTTTTTAAACACACCTGTACAAAGTTGTATTTCCTTTCCTTGCCCGCTCTTCTGGAGACCTTACCTAAATTATAAAGTATCAAATGAGCATATCGCAAGTTTTTTAATGATATGTGAACTACAATTTTTTTTTTAAATACCATTGGAGTCCATGCTGGCGGGGAGTCTCTTATCCTTGACAAATGTACCTCAAGATGAGGAAGAGCGTTAAGCCTCGTGTTCCACTCAGAGTCAATGTCCATATACGCCGTAGACCCTCTCGCGGCCCCAGTCTTTAAAGCCCTGCCATACGGATCAGGCCTTGCTGTCCTGTCTGGAAAAAAATCAAAATTTTGTAAAAAATCAAAATAGTTTATTAAAATAAAAATGCTTACATGTACTTCCAAATGTGTCTTGCAACCGTGCGACAGGGTTTCTGATAGTCCTCCTCGGAATTACAGCCTCGCCTCTCACTTTGGCTATGCTACTAATTGAGCTCTTTCTCAGAATACGTTCCCTAGCATCTGTCTGTTTTAGTCTTTGATTCAGCCTCTCTCGAGCATCCACAATTTTGGACCTTGTCTTTTCTATTATTTTAAAACGAGCGTCGACTATTTTACCAGTGCCACCGCCTCCACCTCCAACTCTGCTGCCGTTGCTGTTGCCACCGCTTTTCCTCTGTTTTAACTTCTTCTTTATTCCACCTGCCTTTGGCCCACGCATCGGCCCTTTCCCATTTAAAGGACTAAAACAGAAGAAAATTTGATGAGATGTTTTGATACGGAATTATTATTCAAAAAATAAATCACAATCATATAAATTAAAATCTAATTATATTTATACTACATATTTTGAATAAAGAGGAAAGATCAAAAAGAAATAAAAAAAGAATAACCTAATTTTTATTAATTATAGTGATAATTTTAATGATTCTAATTTGTCTATTAAACATCTCTAAAAGACTAAATACAATAACATGTCAATTGTCAAAAAAATAATATTTGTGGGGGGAGTTGGTGTGACAACAGTTAAAACATTAACACAGCAACCCTGAATTTGAACTCAATATCGTTTTTTCACTGTTATAAACCCCTGTTACAACAAAAAGTTATCATCCCATAGACCTCAGGGTAAATCACATAATTAAATAAATGTTCTAAATTATATCAATTATTCAAATTGCACTTAACCCCATAGTCATTAAAGTAAGTTCAGTTTTTTTTCAATGGTAAATTTAATAAAAATTGACCTTCTTATTGTCATTGTTGTATTATTTAATCCATACTGGGATGGTGCAAAAGTAATGCAGTTTGAAAAAGGCAGTAAAACTATTTTTAATTTTAATAAAATAAAGAAAATGTATTCGAAATATTTTCCATTGTCACGATCTGTGTGGCCGCACCAAGAGGAACTCACAAACCCCTCCAACCAGAAGGGCTCCGGAAGGGATTAGAGTGGACAGACGAAGCTAGGTGCAACATCATTGGTCAAAATCTGGTAGAAGAGGGTGACACCATCATACTCTACATATTTGCCAACATAAATAAACGCTTTTACTCCACTGACATAAAACCCTTTATTTTGACTCACAAAAGTCTTGGAAAGCATTTTTGGCTTCACTGCCAGAAAAATTGAATCCCGCAAGACTCGGGTGAATATAGAGGGCGCAGTAAGGTTTTATATCGTAAGTTTTTAAATTTCCGCAGGGTTAGCATTGGACCATGTGGCCTGGCATCGTGAAGAAGAATCAGCCTCTCACCACGGTTTACCAATGCTGGACAAAGACTTTGCAGCTTCCTGGGCATTTTGTCAATTTTTTGGCAATATTTCGTCTGTGATAATTTCACCATAATTCAGGATAAGCAATAAACCATCAAACAGTCACCATAGCTTTTTTGGGGGGCAGATTTGGTTTCGGGAAGTTTTTGGCTCTTCATCCTTGTCCGACCATTGACCTGTACGCCTCTTGTCATTGTACAGAATCCATCTCTCATCACTGTATGATTCAACAGAGAAATGGTTCATTTTGGTGGTGCAACATAAGAGATTTGCAAATTTCAAAGCACCAATTTCTTCGGTTAGTCCATGCGGTACTCATTTGCCAAGCTACTTTACCAATTTGCTCCAGATGGCGAACAACGGTTGATGGTTTACACTAAGCTCTTATAAAATTTTCTGTATTGTCTTACGTGAATTTTTGTCAATCAACATTTTGAATTAGTTGTTGTCCACAACAGAAGGCCTACCGCGACCTTCACTGTCATTGAGATTGAAATCCCTGAAGTTATCACTGCATCGTGCATTCACTACTACTTCCCTTCCCCCAAAATGTATTGATGTTGGTGGTGATTTGGGCTGCACTTTGCCCAAGATTAAATTCGTACATTTGGCTTCCTCGGTCACCTAATTTAACTCCACTATTTTCTGTCGGGCCATTTAAAAAACAGTGTCTACACCAATCATAACCCAGCACCCTCAGTTGAAGAACTGCGGCAAAGCATAGAAAATGTCAATCCATTTCCCCTGACTGTATCGCCCTGAGCACTGATGGAGAATGGTTAAAAAGAGCAAATCTTTGCATCTTTATGCAAGGCAGGCATTCGAACATGAAATGTTAATAAATAGCAAACCAAATGACTGGTTTTTTTCCAAACTTTTTGCCTAACTTTGTCATTTTTTGACAAATTTAAAATCCGATTGCAAATTTTCAGCATAAAAAATCCTTTAACCCTCCGTCGGGCACAGCTGGCCTGAGAGGCCAGCTAAACACCTTTTTGCCTGCCATTCTTTTACCTGGCGGCCTAACGGGACACCCCTCCTAGTAGTTTCCTATTTAGGGGTGGTGCATAGGAATCCCTAATTCATTCTGTCGTCAACCTTCACTCTGCTAGCCTAGACCCATCCTGGCTTGTCAAGCCGACTGCGTCATAAATTAAAAGATAAGTTTTTTCACTATATTTTTGTTGTAATCGTTCATTTTACTTTTCAATTCAGTTTTCCTCACTTTTATTCTAGATTTCCTGCTGAAATGGACAAAAAAATGTATGATTTTTCCAACCATAATGATGTTGCCAAAATTAGAAAACTCCTCAAGGATGATGCTTCTGATGATCCAGCGCTGGTTGAGGATTTTGGCGAAGATAGCGATATAGATTCTCTGGACGAAGTACAGCAACGTGACGAGGACTCAGAAACGAAACAAGAAGATGAAGGGTCATACTAGAAATGCAAAAACGATATTGCAATGTTGGGAATGTTTGTTCACTACAGAAATTTTGGAATTGATTGTAAAATATACCAATCAATACATAGATTCAGTCAAATCCAAATTTGCCAGAGAGAGGGATGCCAAGGAAACAGACATCATTGAAATCAAGGCATTCATTGGTTTATTATACCTTGCTGGAGCATACAGAGGAAATCGTCAGAGTCTGGAGGAGCTATGGGGCACAGAAGGAGTTGGGGTTGAGAAATTTGGCCTGGTGATGGGCATAAAAAGATTCAAGTTCCTCATACGTTGTATTTGTTTTGACAATCATACGAGCCAAGCACAACAGAAAGAATATGATCGACTTTGCCCAATTCGTGAAATATTTGATTGTTTTGTTCAAACTACCAAAAAAACTACCTCCCCGGAGAAAATGTTACAATTGATTAGATGCACCTCCATGGGAGGTGTGCATTCAGGCAATACATTCCCTCCAAACCAAACAAATATGGTATAAAGGTATTTGCCCTTGTTGATGCCAAAATGATACACACCTACAACATAGAGATATACGCAGGAAAACAGCCTGAAGGGCCATTTTTTGTCAGCAACAAGCCAAGTGAAGTGGTGAAACGAATCGCCAAACTCCTTTTTGAGACAGGGCGCAACATAACCACTGATAATTGGTTCCCAGACATAGATCTCATTAATGATTTGAAAAAAAAGAGGCTGTCTTATGTTGGCACAATTAAAAAAAATAAAAGACAGATACCAGACAATTTTGTCAATGTCAGAGGGAGGGCTCGACACAGCAGCTTGTTCGGCTTCAACAACGGTAACACTTTGGTTTCATACGTTCCAAAGAAAGGGAAAAATGTGATTCTCGTTTCATCACTCCACGAAATGCCATTGATCAAAATACCGGAGAGCAGCAAAAGCCAGAAGTGATTACGTTTTACAATACCACCAAAGGTGGAGTTGACACTGCTGATCAAATGTGTGCAACGTTCAGTGTGAGCCGGAACACAAGACGCTGACCGATGGTCATCTTCTTTGCCTGTCTGAACATAGCCAGCATAAATTCTCAAGTGATTTCGATTGCGAATAAACTGGAACCGCTAAAAAGGATAATCTTCCTCAAAAATTTGTCTCATCAACTTACGATTAGACAACTAGCCCGACGAAGTCTAAATACAAATGGAATGCCGACTCACCTACAATCCCGCTTGAAAAGGTTTTTACCACAAGAAAAACCTGAAAATACGCCCACCTTACCTCCAAAAAGACGCAAATGTGGCATGTGCATGGCTGAAACAGGATTTAGAAGGATGACAAATTACGAATGTAAAAATTGCCATCAACCGATCTGCCTTAGCCACATAAATCCACTGTGCCAAGCCTGTTATTAGGCTGCAGATTTTGAAGATTCAGCGTAGGCCCGCGACAGCGGCAAAGAATGGTTGCGCCACATTAGACTGTATACTACATTTTTCCACTATTTTTTAATATTATGATACTTGGTTTGATTAATTTTTAAAAACTTGTTGTACAAAATTCGCAATTTTTGTTGTTTTAGTTTAAGCTTCATTATATTCAATAAACATGTTTGTTTCCATCCAATTTGTTGTATTTGATTTCCGAAAATCCAAGCAAAGGCTACCTTAACGGTGTTTTGGATTAAATTGATTAGAGAGGAAGGGGAGGGTAAAACAGGTAGGTGGCCTTTCAGGCCGGGTGCGCCTGGCTTTGTTTCATTCAGAGGTGCACCCAATGGAGGGTTAAAATGATGTGTCAAGATGTATAGGATCAAATTGGAAATTTTGAAGTTGTACTGTGTCTGAGGTACCCGGTGTAATTTTTCAACAATGAAAGGTAAAAATTTGAAACTAGACTAAAAATATTGCACATCTATTTTTTATTTTTTGATAGTCATTGGTTCCAGAGAAATTCAGCCAGGCAATCTAAAAAGGACACCCTGTAGAAGCATAGGCCTTGTATTTATATGTGTTTTTTTCTTGGTGAAAGCAAGTAGGGTAGCTTTTGAGGAGTTTGCTTTAAGTCCCCGTGTGAACACCATTGTTCCACCATGTTTAGTGCTCTTTGGGCGAACTCTTTTAATGCTAATTTGACAATGTCATCTGCATAACCTTGGGTATAGATTCTGCTTTCATTTAGTTTGTAGGTTGGGACATAAACTTACAGATTAATTAGATCCATTTACGTTTTAGTGGTCAATTGACTAAGTTACTTCTTTGATTGAGATGAAAAAGTTAGTGTCACAAGTGGAATTCGAACCCATGACCTTCGGCTCAATACACTGCTGCTCTTACCAATTGAGCTATCGTGTCTACTATCTAATACTTCACTTACCGGTTTTTCATTGTCGGCATTGTCACTGAAAGCAATTCCCTCTCCACATACTATCCATGCTGACATTCCTCAGGGTAGCGCTCTGGACCCCACAATTTACCAAATCACACATCTGACATCCCTACCATCCTCATGCGAACTGACCATTGCATACGATATAGCCATCCGCTCAAATATGATCCTGTCGTTTCTACTCGAAACCTAACAGCTCCTCACAGGCCATCTACATACGGAGCAACTCAAAAGAAACTGATTTGAGATTCTAGTTACTAACCAATCTGCAATGATTTTCTTCTAATGTATCTGAATGGGACAACGCTACTGTAGTGACTTTAGTTGTTTGGTTTCGGGTGATTTTCAAGATGGGCAATCAACAGGTGTTCATATTATTTGCGAGAGAAGTGAGAAACACCCTGTTTTATGATTTTACATTTCCTGAATACTCAAAAAAATGCGACATTGAAGTTGGCATACCATGAAGTTAAAAAAACGCATGACCACAAAATCTTTTCATTTTTCTCTTCTTTATCAATGATGGTACAGCAACATGACAGCTTCATCATTTGAATAATCACAGTTAATGAACAAAGACATGGATGATGTTCCTTCCATCATTTCACTGAAGAAACTATTGATTTTCATATTTTTGAATAGCTTCGTATGTGGAACCGAGTAACTAATGAGTTGGAAACTGATCCATGCAAAGAGTTAAAACTACTTGACTATCGAGACTTCGATCCTCTCGGACACCAACTCCCAATTAGACCACTAAATATATTGGCTTACTGTTTATATTTATTTATAATATCCATTAACCATGGAGGAAATATATAATGGCCTCTAGGCTATAAATAAAATACAGGTCAGGATTTATAATAATAAACCAAGCACTGATCAGAATATTTCTGTTGCCAAATTCTAAAATTTTGTTTATTAATGTACATTTTTGTTTATTTTCATGTAAATGCATGGACAATTGCTTATTCAATTTTCTTGTTTGAATTTACTTTTTTAAAGGTTTTACTTGTGGCAGGTGTTCTTAGGGCAAAAGAATGTTTCTTTTTAAGCCTTTTGTTTCCAAATGGTAGGAAAAGTCTTAGTGTATTGTATATCCGTTTAATTATTGTTATTACTGTTTTATTGTTTTTTTTTTAAATTAATTGTTAAATTAGGTTTTAGTTGAAATTCTTAAAAGAAAATTTTGTCGGTTTGTTTATCGTTTTGTTATGTACTGGCTTCCATGGCGAGAGTTGTGAAATAGGCCACAAAATTGCCACTTTTTGAAATCTGAAAACGTCGGTTTATTTCGTAATTTTCACAAAAGATCACACAATGCTTGAAAAACTGTAAAAGGAGGTGGTAAAAATAAAAGGACACCGAATTCCAACCCCAGTGAATTATGGAGGACTGTGCCATTTTGGTACTCACCCTCGGCTCCTTTTTCCCTGGAGCCTCCTCTTCCGTTTTATGATCTCGTCCAGTCCGACGTCCATTATTTTTATGTTTTTATTTTGACGGACCGCCTCCGATTTAATCCCCGAACTTGCTTCCTGCTGAAAAGAACCCGTGGGCAGCCTGCAGATCCTGCAGTCGCTGTGCAGAAACGGATCCGGAATACGTAAACAAAACCAGTGACAAAGGTTAACTCGGTGAGATTAATGTAAACAGGGCAACGCACGCACTCATTCCCAAGCCACCTGGATAACTCTATTTCTGTTTTCAACCGCATGTTTAAAAGAATAATATAAAAATTAACTAATCTGTTGAAACTCTTTAACAATTAAATTGTTTAAATAAAATCCTGCTTTGCTGAACCATTAGATTCTCAAGTAACAAAGATTCAAAATATTTAAGAAAAAAGCTCCAAATTTACCTTATTTTTGCCTTTAGGTTTAAATTCAAACATAGATTCTTAAAAAAGACTAAAAACTTATATTTTAAACCAAATAAGACTAGATTTTAATAATAAAAACGATTCAATTTTTGCCTCAAATGTTTGATTCAATTATTCACTACAATTATTAAACCTACTCTCAAACCCATACCATTGATCAAACATTTTCATCCTGTCGTGTTGAAAAAAAATAAATAAATGCGTCCTGAATATATCAACAGCTAAAAAAAAAACCTGTTGAATTAAAAAAAAGTCTTTGTTGACTAACCTGTTTAAAGGAAACCGTTTAGGTGATGTAAACAAAATATTATGGTTGGGCGTGTCACAGTCAATTATTTTTCAGTTTTGATTTAACCGTAGACATGAAATTTTCCGTTTTAGGGGTTTTTCTTCTCCTAGCCTTGTTCGATTCAGGTGAAGAGTTTTGCATAAACTAATTTAAATCGAACATTTTTAAAGTTGTTGATGTCAACAGGTTGGGCGTTGGATTGTTTCGTGTGCAATTTGCAAGACAGCAACAACGAAAAATGCACGCAGACAATAATGACGTGCAAGCAGAACGAGGAAATGTGCCTCACGGAAATCAAATGGGGGAGTAAGTATGGCTCTGTGATGATGTTGGGTCAAAGCCTTTTTTTTTTCTTGAACACTTGTTACATTGTTACAAACTATTGCTGGTTTTGTTAAAGTTTTTTTAAACGTCAATCTTGTTTGTGACATTTATCTCTCAGGGTTTACAGTGTAATGGACGTAGTTTGGTCTTTTTCAATGTTTTGTCTGTCAGATGCAATTCGATCTTTCGCAATCATAATTTTATTGGCTTTTAAAGCAAGTCCATAGCGTTTTTCAGTGGTTCGATTTCATCCCTCTTATGTGTTGAACTGATTGAGTTATTTAATAAGCTCAAATCTGCACAGGTATGTACATACATATACGCGTATACAGAGTTGAGCCACTTCTAGCAATCCACTGGTAATTCCAGTTTTTATAATTTACAATAAATTACTGGCAGTCCTCGAGAATCACCCACCCCAAGTGTTGGCAGTCTGGTCATACGTTGGTCTTGCCCGTAGCACCGCAGAGTTCGGGTTTCAGGGGATATCATCAACAGCCAGGTCATTTCAGCCCAAATGCAATCAGTTTCTAGATCCAACTCCACTTACACTTTCACTCATTCTTAAATACATTCTTTCTTATTTACATGACATTCACTCAGTTAATTTAACTGATTGACGGTTGATAGGGCTCAATATTCTGCCATTGGCCCTCACACTAAACATTCATCGTAATAAGTACATTCATTCCCTGTCTTACTCGGTGTCCTGAAAAAGACACAAGGATCTTTTAAGACCTGAAGGCCATATCGGCAAGCATGAGATCATTTTACAAGAAGGGAGACGACTCGCTTCTGCTTAATTTGTGTTGTTAGGTTTTCATGTAGAGCCTTTAAAACTGTTCTTCTCTGTTTGGCCCTTCTGCAGGGCTGGGTTGGCAGCGTCACAGCCAAAGCTACTCCCGATCAAAAGAGAAATCAGGCACACCTCTAGCGTTACCAACTAATAAATGTTTTAATTGAAAATATGACATGTACGATATTCTTGTGTTGCTGCTCTCCTTCGGTTCGTATCACGTTTTTCAACCTGCAAAGGATATTTCACTAAGATAATTTAAAAAAAAAATGTAAATGTAATTATGAGAATACTTTAGTAAAATCCCCAAATTTTACCTTTAATAGAAAAGCCATCGCTCCAGCCACAATTGAGTATTTCCACAAAAACATGGGTTTTACTATATGTCATTCTTTGAGCGGCTACTGTGTATTTAAAAGCACAAATTTTTCAACTGAAATGTTATCTTGTGAAAAATTTAATATAGTTTGCAAAACAAATGTCCCAAAAATCTCTTTCAAATCTCAGGAAAGAGACAAGATAGAAACCTCGTTCTAGTGACACTGAACTATGTTTTATTCAGTGGATCCACTATGGCAGTATTGACATTTAACTCTGTATACCCCACCTGTTGCATGCTCAAACACAATTTTCACATCGGGTGACATTCCTACACGCTTTCTATATGGAGCCAAGGAATGCCCCCTTCATTTAAGTGAGCATTAAGCGACCTATCTCTACATGCTGGGCACATACGTGGGCTTTGGCTCAAAAGTAAGAGTCCATATCCAGACAACAAACACATTTTGCCAAGATGCTCCGGTTTATGGTAGCTCTCTAACAAGAGCATAATGAGGGGGTTGACAGAAGATCATCTCTTGGATGGAATTTAATCTAAACGTGAGATATCTAACTTTTAATGTTAGAAATATTTTATACCTTAAATTCTAGATCTACCACTTCCTACAAACGTGTGTGTGTGTTTTTAACATATAATTATTTGAGTAGATTTTAAGCTAGAACAAGGTTTGAACAACAACAAATAACTTTGAAAAAGTTTGATTTGTTTGTGTGTTCGTGCATGTAATATCTATAAAAAGACATGGGTTTTCAGTTTTTGAAACTTTAAAATTAACAAGGACATAAATTATTATTTACAAAAAAAAATCAATTTACTCCCTTAATAGACTCATATATTTATTTTTATAGATACATTAAATAACAGTTTTTATATCAACACATGATATAATTTTCCCTTTGGACACAATTTCATATATATTTTTTATAACATACATACATGTCTATAGTTTACCAACAATTTTTATATCAACACATGATATAATTTTCCCTTTGGACACAATTTCATATCTATTTTTTATAGCATACATACATGTCTATAGTTTACCAACAACTATGTACAATTGACACTAAATACACTTGTAAGGGATTGTAATTCTCATTGTTAGCATGTATTGAACCAAATTGCGATCCCTTATTTTATGGAATTACATAATATAGGATTGTCTTTCATTTAATAATCTTATATCAAAATTAATGCCACACACATTTTATTGTTGTATTTACACAATTTTGGAACATTTAATACTATTTCCTTTTTTTTATTTCTTGTATATGAGACCTCAAACGTATGATTAAATGGTAAATTATAGTTTTAGCTTACTTAAATTAACAAGTTGGAGGAATGTTAAACCATGTTTAATTCTATTCAAGCCAATTTTTTTAAAAACCAATCTATGATTTTTTATATATCTTTTTAATATTAGCAAATATTATATGCAATAAACACATATAAACATTGATATTTTTTTTCAGTCATTAATGGCTATTAAAATAGTTTGGAAGAGTTACAAAGGGAAACTAATCTAAATAACTAAAACATTACATGACTGTTACCTTTTGTGAATGTTTAAACAAATAAATTTTTAATATTCACTTACAATTTTGTTTTGAAAATTGAGTAAAAAAATTATATATTTATACAATTTTTGAGTTTTGTGTTTGCAGATGGAAAAGATCAGAAATAACGACTTCAGTCATGTAGTTTAGATGTGTTTCAGCTTCTCATCATATTCAGTGGTTGAACTATGTCATTTTCATGCACTGCAAATATTTTTTTCTCAGTTCTGTTCAGCCTGACATTACTGAAAAATAATTCACAGACCCACTACTGAATAGTCTGACAGAACAAAACAGCAAGAATTTATGGACAAAAATGATTGTAAATGACTAAACTATCTTTTAAATTGGCATAAAAATAACAATAAAATAATGATCAATATGATTCCATAAGTTGTTTACTCAGTTTAGACCAGTTAGTTTTAAAGATGGCGAAATTTCTTCCTGTGTTCTGCGAGTGATGAACCTGAAATTTGGTCATTTCTGATAATTTTGGTCTGCCTATCCACACCGTGACTTCACATCTTTAGTGTGTTATGCCAAAATGCATCTCACAGACTGTCCCAATGAGGGTAGGCAGACCAACCAATCAGAAATGTGTTTAGCGTTCTTTGGAATTTCTCCTAATATTTACTCTTATGTATTACACAATATATCTTTGTTGTTAAAGCAAGTTGGCAATTGTATAATTTTAAAGTGTAATGCTCATGCATACTGCATAATCAGACAGAATATACTTGAAAGCAAAATTGAAATAATTTTCTTAGAAACAGTCAAAAAGAATCTTTTCACCCGTGTTCCTTTTATCATGTTTCATCCAATGTATTTCTTGAATTCTTGTCTGTTTAAATCTTTAGGTCAAGTATTTGTAAAATTTTCTTTCGACAGCTACACCGTACTGGCAAGCCGGAGCGCAGAAACAGTATTATTTTAGCAAGCGGTGCGCCCGGAAAGAACATTGTAGAAGGACGATGAATAAATACTTGCCGTACTGCACCTATGTTTGGTATGAAGACTGGAAGTGCGTCGACTGTTGTGAAGGCGACAAATGCAATTACTACGTAATTGTAAGTTTACATCATACTATATATTTTGCCTTTTGTAATTTTTTTTTTTCCATTACAGAGTGGATCCAGTAGATCGAGCTTAAGCATCACTCTCGCGGTAAGTATAGCAGGTATTTACATAAGAAAATTGCTTAATTTGAGCTGTTGAAATTGCAGAACTCTTTTGTTTTATTTACTTTATAAAGATTTCATAGATTAACATTAACATATAAACTATCATCTAAAACGCAAGTTTCAAAGCATAGGCTCTTTTGTACAGTTCAAATAAATTTTAAACAAGTTGTCATTTTGTTAGATTGTAAGAAAATTTCAACATGTACATAAACTATTTATTCAGAGGTTAAAAAGAGAAATAAATTAAACTAAACATCCTTTTTGCTTTTACATCGTTAAGACTGTTTAATTTATACAATTCCCAAAATATTTTATGACATTAAAGGGGGAAGTTTTCTGTTCAGCTCATTCAAAAAGGAGTAAATTATTCAAATAATAAAGTATAATTAAGCACAGTTGATTACATTATGGAAATGACTTACTATTTAACTTGGAATTCTATTTGCCATGGTTTAACTTAATTAATACATAGATTTGTTTTATATCTCTATTATGTGAAATTGTATTATATTGGTAGATCGTGTATTGTCTTTGAATTTTTTAAATAGATTTAGTTCCAAAATTTATCTATCAAAAATGTCAAAATATTGGTGAACATTTTTTTTCTTTTGCAAGGTGCATTAAATGTTTTCTTTTTTCTAAATTTGCAATTGTAACAAAAATGGCCGCATCTTGTTGGTTGTTTCTGTTTTTATTTTGACCATTGCTTTTGTCAGAAACTTTCGTTTGTACTTTTTTGTACAAAAATAAAAATTATTTAAACAATTCAAAGATTAATAAGCACAAGAAATAATAATTAACAAATGTTTATAAAAGTCTGATTCATATTGATTCCATCCATTTTTCATATATTTTAAGTGAAAAAAATAGACCAACAAAGTGTATTTGTAGGTATATTATATTGTAATTAAATCCGTCCAGTTGTACTGTCAATTTTTATATATTTTTCTTTTTTCTTTGTTGTAAATTCAAATATGTTACAATTGAATAACATCTGAAAATTGTTTCAGCTTGACATGTTGTTTATCTGTTTGTACTTTTTTCAGATATTTTCAATTGTTTTATTGTAATTTATAAATAAAACTATTTTCTTTTATATAATTTTATATGAATTTGATACAAAATAAATATATACACTTTATATTTATATATAATAATGTTGATTCATTTTACCTTAGGCACATTTTCTCATGATTTAAATTTAGTTGTTAAACTTTTCATTTTTCAAACCATTGACTGTGCTTTCTTTTACACGGCAATCTGAATTTTGTTTTTCAGATCGGCACTTTCCATTTCTTTTACTGTAGAACTCAACTCGTTTTCTCTCCAATCTTTATTTTTATGCTTGTCATGTCATCTTAGGCTAAGGGGTACATAAATTATACACAACAGCAATCTTTGTGTCAAAGACACCATATAGCATTGTGTAAAAGTGTTTAAAAATAATATTTTAGTTTAATAATTTCAAGAAACGGAATCAGTCGTCAACATGCCTCTCCCAGCTTGTAACCTTGATTGACCCTCTTAAGTCTCTTATTAATAGCTAGCTTTAAAGGATAACTCTTTGTATTTAACCACATTTATCTGGTGGATGAAATATTTAAAAAATTGGTACAAGAATTTTTATAACATACTTCTTGGGCTCTAGCCAAAACTGGTTGGAAATAATAGCATATTGACCTGCCTCTCCCTGTTTATACCTTGATCCTTGATGGCATGCTTTTACACCATATTTTAAATACAAATCTCGCCAAATTCAACTATGTGGTAAAATATATATAGAAGTGGTTAAAAATAATATTTGAGTTCAAGAATTTCAAGAAATGGATTCAGCCAGCAACACACTGATGACTTACTAATGACCCGCTAAGGTTTCTTTTTATTAATAGCGCTGTTTTAAAAGATAGCCCGTTTACCATTCATATGATGGATAAAATTTTTGAAAAGTTGGTATGGAAATTGTTGCTTGCTCTGCTTATACATATATCTCTTTGGCACTAGCCAATACAGTTGAAAATAATGGCAAGACAGCCTGCCTCTCCCTGCTTATAACCTTGACATTTTCTGACTATGGTGTTTTCTAATCACGGACACACATTTCGCTGTGAACTGGAAAATCCCTTAAGCGTGGACTGTCACCAAATTCATCCATAACACACGTCTTAATATTTGGCAAAATGCTGTATCAGTCCTGGCCAAAGATTTATGCCAGAACAATCAACCACAAAAATAAGTCCATAGTATTATATATCGCAACAGAGAAAAATAAATATATAAAAGAACCAAGGTTAAAATATGTTTGTATGAAAACATCTTTATAAATTCGGACTATTAATTTTTTATTTAGATATAATTATATCTTATTTTAATATATACAAAACAAATTACAATAATAATAATATATTAATTAAAAAGGAGGGAAGGTTATTCAAATTTTTCAGCAGTAAATGTTATTTAACAAATATTTAATGTACAAAAATGTAAGATTGCCAAACACATCAAGCACCTTTATTTATGCATGTTTTACAATGACATTTGAATAATGTAAATGTCATATTTAACACAGATTAAAACAAAAGAGAAAAGAAACCACCTAAAAATCTCAATTAAATTTGACAAAATAAAAATTATAATAAATCTTTATTTACATGGAATGGAAAGTTGCATTGATTGAAGAACATATAAAATAAATTACAAATGATCCTAGATGCACAATTTTTATATTTTAAATTGTCCAAAAGCCACTCGTCTATAATGTTTTAAATAGCGGGATGTTCTTCATGTTTTAAGTTTAGACGCTGAACTGGACAAAGTCGTATTGTAACTGATACATATTTACATACACTTTTTCTCGACTAGTGTAATTGCAAAGTTTTGAGATGATTGCTTGGCTTGAATCGTGTGATTACAGCTCGTCTCTGAGGAGCGTGTATCGGTTCTTAGACGGCCCCAATTTCTTGAATGTAGACTCCGGTGGAAGAGTCGGCGCTTCGTCCACCTTGACGGAATTCGGGTCGGGTCCGTAGTGGTACTCTCTGTGAAGTTTACCGGAGTACAGATCCCGGATGAACGATTTCAAGCTACCTGGCTTTTCCATATCGTTGATGTCAGGAAACAAGTACATGTGCCTGAAGCTGTCTATAGCTATTAGAGGAAGGTCGCTTTGAGACTTTCCGAGATGATGCAGGGGGTGGGCGAATTTCAATCCGTCGGCCGTTAAAAATGTGATATTTGCTGGAAATACAAATTAAAACATTAAAAACAATTCAACAGATTCCAAAATTAATCTGACTCACGTATTTCACTGACTAATTCTGAAGAAACAATATCCTTGAATCGTTTGACGACTTCTTCATCGGTTCCCACTCGGTGGAAAAGAATGAGGAATGGAAGGCCTTCTTCGGTAAGCTCTTCGGCATTTTCAAATGTTATCTCTCTAACGAGCGGTATACATCTTTCCCCAACCCAAATGTTAACTTCATCATAATTAAGAAGTGATCCTTTATACGTTTCATCTTTTTCATTAGATAACGCTACATCTGGGCGAAAAACGATGATTGGCTGACCTGGAGGGTGCATTGCTCGAACAGTTTCCCTGAAGAAATATGAATGCAATAATATATTCCTTACGTCATTCCAAATCATATAAAGATTCTACATTTTATCTATTTTATTATAATTTATATATTACTAAATAAGTCATTAGCCTTATTTTTCAATATTAGCCAGAGAATGCAATGAATTCTGCGATGAAGGCATGCATGAAAAAAAAAATCGTAACTACTGGATTACGAGCTGAGCGTTTGACCCGCCGACCACTCGGCTATCCCCAATTTCTTGGTTTTTGTAGATTATTCTATTTGTTTTGGCATTTCTCCAATTTTAATTCTTTCTTTTATGTTGTAACTTGACTATTTATGGTTGCCCCTGGTTTAATTCTTACCAGCTTTGTAAGTCAAGTGTATTTCAGTTGTTGGTCTGTAATTTTGTCAATGGTGTAGAGTTGCATCAAGCCAAAGGTTCACCATCTCCAACTCCACCAAAATGAACAAATTTTAAAACTTAATTTGTCGCAAACTTACCCAAACCCAACATGAAATTGGCAATCGTCTTTCAAGTTGGACGCCACTCTTCTGAAGGTGTTATACTCAGGACAGTCCTTTTTCTCAAAAAACCCTATTATGATCCTCTTTTTCGTCTATAAAATATACAACATTAACAAAATATGGTGGAAATTGTTTTTAATCAAATAATTTTTTTTTTAGTTACGTACGTCTAATGTCTTCAGTTCAGACAAGTCTTTAAACTCTTTAATCGGGTCTGTTAACTGTTGTTTAACAAACTCTTGAAACGCTTCGACGGACCGTTTGCCCCTGTACTCTCTCTTTGCAGGTTGGCCATTTCTGAAAATCTTTAGCGTCGGGTACTTTGTTATATGAAACCGCGACGCCAGGGCACCTGAGAAAAGATTCAACTGTTATAAATATTTAAATGTATAGGGGAACTAATAATAATCCCTAATAATAATAAAACTTTATTTAAAAAAAAAACCACAATCTTCGACTATATATGCCGCTGCTCTAACCACTTGAGCTATTTATTCAGAAATCGTGAGATGCGGTCTGGTGTGATGTAGGTTTCAGAAAAACATTTTCTTTATCGTGCCAACGTTTCGATCTTTTGATTAGATTTCTGAATAATTATCGATTAACGGTCACTAATCACCACACACTTGAGCTATTGTGACTTTGATCCACTCGGACACCAATTCCTCATCTCAGCCTACGACCTTTTGAATTTTCCCTCCTTTTGCCATTTTTGAACTGTGTAATCAGGATTCGATTCTCGCACCTTATGAAGTGGCCACGGGGAGCTGTTAGCGAAGTGATTATTTCTTTATTACTATCTTAGTCCATATAAGTTTAGCGGTCGTAATTCAACATATTAATTATTTCAATTAATTATTTATATTTTTATCTACGGTCTTAGTGAAAAGTTATTGTCACCTTAATAGCCCAACATCTTGGGTTCGAAAGTCGCTCGTAACACTAACTTTTTCATCTCAACCAAGATCTTAGATAAAAAGGATAATTAATTGAAATCATTACAATGTTTACGCATAATATGGTCAATTAGGACCGCTAAACAATGGATTAATTGTAATGATTATTAGTATGAATATTGTTAGCACGATGGGCTCTTTTTGTGTGTAATTATTTGTAATACAATTATACATTTTGTACAAGGATGGCATCCATATGTAAATAAATAAAAAATAAATAAATTTGTAAAAACATTGCCTAATATTTATTAAGGAACAAATAATATATGGATCAGGTGCATACTGCATGTAAAATAAGTTAAATTACTTCAAACTATACGTATTTGAATCGCTATATTAATTACAATATATTTATTTTAATTTAAACCCAAATAGATCAGGAATTAATGAGTTTTAATTAAAAATATTCAATTATGATGGTTGAAAGAAGATTCACCAAAACACCGGAAAATCATTTAGTGATAGATTAAAGTTTAACGAGCAATTTATAGTATCGCTAAAAATGATTTTCTGTTTGGGTGAATTTTCTTTCAAATCATTATAATTCAATATTTTTTACCTTAAACCCATGAATTTCTGTCTACTTTAATTTCGTTTATATTAAAATAAATAATGTAACGATAAAAATACATATAGTTTGAAGTAAAGAACAAAATACAAGTGTCCAGTTTTACAGTCTTTCAGTATATTTATTCATTCATTTTTCTTTTTCTTTATGCCACACTAGCAATAATAAAATTTATTATTGAAAAACCTTGTATATTTTGCGTTTTAACATTTGGTGGATTATAAAAAGATTTTAGATCTGTTAGATATATCAATATTTGGACAGTTGTGAAGGTCTACATGTTTGTTATTTTAATTTTAGAAAAGGTTTACATGTTTGATTGTCTTTTGAAACAATGAAATTGAGATTTTTACTATTTCAAAGATAGAACAGTCATAGTTTCTATCCAACACTATTATTTTATATTTATTTTAAACATGCATTTCAGTTTAAATGTACACATATACTAAAAGTTAATGAGACTGACCATGTATACAGAATACATTTGTTTAATTTTTTCTGTGCAATTACTTCATCTTTTTGAACCAAACGGGTTTAATGTCAGTTTGTAATGTTAAATGACAAGTGGAAAAGACATCACTTTGGGTGCCCATATGTTAGTTTGTTAAAAGGATGGTCAAACAGTGTGATATTCCAGACCTGAATAATTCAAAACTGAAAAAATTTTGATCCATATTTAACAAAACAATTGCTCTTCAGGATATCGCTCGCACAACAAAGAAATTATTCGCTGTATTGAGAAACTACAACATCGTACATACACTCCGGGCCTGATGTTAATACTAGCACTATTTAAAAGCTTTGACAGTAGCTTTAGGCTGTAAATTTTTTTAAAACTGACAAAGCTGACTCTTTTTAAGACTTAATTTTTTTTCAACTTTCAAATTTTTAAGCTTGATTTTCACAGGAGGGGTGAAATATTTTATTTCCTAACATAAAAAAGCTGGCTTTCTAGACTCTATATATTCATTAAATGTAATTACCTCCTGTATGAGATTTCCAAGATATAAACTTTTTTAATTGTGTGCAAGGACAAAAAGGCCGTTCACCAAGGTCAGATCGAAAATGTTTTTAACACATACTACATATATGTACATCTTCAGGGCATTCCATACAACCACATTACATTTATTTCTTTATTTTTTGTTCTACGGACTTCTTTAAGTTTTCTACATTTATTAAAACATATTTGAAATAGCTGGTAATAAAAAGAAGAAAAAATAAATTGAAAAATAGTTTTCTAACACCAAATACAGCTTTTTTCTAAGCATCACTTATTATTTCTGAGCTATCGACAATAGCTTTTCACAGAAAATTTTAGAAAACTGATTCAGGCTCGAATAGGAATTGTCTCTATTTATGACTTACAAAAGAAAAGGATTTTTGACTTAGGTGCCGAAACTGAAATTATTTCTAAACCAGGACTGGTTTATCAAGTAATGAATGCGCAGACAAACCGGAACAGATGATACACACACATGTATGTCAAAAGATAAGCTGGAAGTTTTGAAAAAGCCGGACAAGTATGATAGTGTAGTTCAGACATTTATCATTTTGGTCTGCTAGCCTCGCTGTTTTTGTATGTCGGCTTTTTGGCTTCTCCCTGTGCCTTAACAATTTGAAAGTATGAAAAAAGTAAGTCCTAAATTTTGTGCTGGATAATAATTTCATATCAACAGGTTCACCACCAGATCTCAGAATTTTCACAATTTAAAGGTGATAGAGCATCGAATTCAGCAGTATTGTATGGTGTAGGTCAAGCCAAATTGACTTTTTTTAAATGCAGGTTCGCGACAGGAGGGGTTATATCAACCCTTGGGGAGCTGGTGTTTTTGGAAAAAAGTGGTCCAAGAGGAGACTACTTAGTTATCACAATGCTGACCTAATGCTTGAGATATGAATATCAAACAATTGAATGTGTTTAACTGAGAGAAAGAGCATACAGAATTATATCGTTTAGTTATAAAATAGTAAACTCTCATGCAATAATTTTATGAATAAATGAAAACCTTCTCAGTGGTAGTGTCTAGTAGAAAAGGTTCCCAAGGTCCATGAGGAGATTACTTAGTTATCACAATGCTGATCTAATGCTTGAGTTATGAATATGAAACTAATTCAATGTGATTAGCTGAGAGGAATAGGCCCACAGAAGTCTATTTCTTAGTTATAATAGTGATAAACTCTTGCATGAATCTAAGTATAAAACAGAAACCGACTCAGTGAGAATGTTTTGCTGAGTGAAAAGGCTCATGGCCCATGAAGAAATAACTTAGTTATCACAATGCTGATCTAGTGCTTGAGTTATGAGTATAAAACTAATTCAATGTGATTAGCTGAAAGGAATAGGCCCACAGAAGTTTATTGCTTAGTTATAGTAATGGTAGGGGCGATGGTGGCCGCAACGGTTTAGGCGTTGACACGGCGCTCATCACTGTAAGGTAAAGGTCCCGGGTTCGAATCCAGCGGCCCTGCATTCGAACCCAACATCTTACAAATGGACTTTTTTTCAAAAACACCGACACCCCGAGGGTTGATATAACCTCTGCTGTTGCTAACCCTCATAAAAAAAAAAAATAAATACAGTAACGGTAAATCTCTTGCATGAATTCTTTGTATAAAACAGAAACCTACTCAGTGGTTAAGTCGAATGTTTTGCTGAGTGAAAAGCTCCCACGGTTGGTGAGGAGAAAACTAATTCAATGTGATTAGCTGAGATGAATAGGCCCACAGAAGTCTATTTCTTAGTTATAATAGTGATAAACTCTTCCATGAATCTAAGTATAAAACAGAAACCTACTCAGTGGTGAAGTTGAATGTTTTGCTGAGTGAAAAGTTCCCACAGTCGATGAGGTGAAAACTAATTCAATGTATATTAGCTGAGACGAATAGGCCCACAGAAAACTATTTCTTAGTTATAACAGTGATAAACTCTTGCATGAATCTAAGTATAAAACAGAAACCTACTCAGTGGTAAAGTTGAATGTTTTGCTGAGTGAAAGGCTCTCATGGTCCATGAAGAAATAACTTAGTTATCACAACGCTGATCTAATGCTTGAGTTATGAATATAAAAAAATTCACGATGATTACCTTAGAGAAAGAGGCTCACAGGAAAATGCTGCTTAGTTATTATAACGCAAAAATATAAAGTAAGAATTCTGAGACTAACATGTAAACTGGTTGTGTCTTGCTGAGTGAAGAGGCTACCATGGTTCATGAGGAGATTGCTTAGAAATAAATTATGATGCTGATCTAATGCTTGATTTCAAAAAGTTAAAGCAAATTCAATGTAATGGTGTCTGCTTATGTAATGGTCAACTGTAATTCTATGTTACAAAGCTGAGGCTTGATATGGCTGAATATTTTTCAAGACATTGAATATTTGATTGGATTTTTTAAAAATTATTATATACGATGTATGTTTAAAGAGTTTCTGGAATCTGAGCACTTTACCTTCTTTATCACAGTCCACTTTCCCCATCACGACTTGTCCAGGGCCGGGGAAATCTGCAGTTACTTTGTCAGCAGCCTCATCGAATATCGGAGCGAGCATGTTGCTGAACCGACACCAGTCGGCGTAAAAGTTAATAAAAACTAGCTCATTTGTCGCTTAAAAAGAAAGAAAAAAAATTATGCTGTCAGTAAAAGAGCAGACGTCGCGGCAACTCAGCGAAGCCGGACGGACACAACTCACCTAGCGTATTGTCTATCATCGACTGGGTCAGCGAGACCGCACCGGTGTTAATCGGATTGTAACAATTGAAAGACACCTGCGGAACACAAAGGATTTTAAAGTTGTAGACAAGAACAAAAAAAAAACTTATGGTTAACTCATGCGTGCCACTTACGAAAAAGTAGACGAGAATCGTGAAGCGGTACCAGGCCGGCGGCGACGGCAAATTCATCCTAAAGTCTCGACTTGCGAATAGGAACCGGCGATAATCTACTAAAGCTATACCAGAAATGCCGATGAGGCTGACCAAATCATCACACGGAAGGTACTGACGTCCGACTGCTGCCGAGTGCCGTCGTTCCGACTTTCGAGTCGGCGACAAATGTTCAAGCTGCCAACATAACGGCTGATAAAAACTGTCACAAGCTCAAAAGACAATACAATGACAATAATTACTGGTCAAAGCAATCCTCATAAACTGTTAATATTCATTTCCATTTTTTAAAACTTGTATTTAAATGACCATAACAAATACCGTTTATCATCCGTTGCCCAACGTGGCTCGACTAAACGCGCTAATTTATAAAAAAAATATGTTGAAACAAAAAAATATGAATATTGTATAGTTCTCATAAGAATTGATCATAGTTCCTTGAAAATAACGTGAAATAAGGCTGCTTTATCAGGATAATATCAATACCAAGCTTTAAATTAAATTTGTTTTTGATCTTCCAATTTTAGATTCAATAAAAAAAATTGTACTGATAATCGAGATCTCTTGATCAGACAAGGTCCTACTGGTTGACTCATTCTACTTCGAGACTTGCCTTTTATCTTTATAAAGATTTAAATTGTATCTTTTTTTAAACAAAATTTTGACCAATTGGGGAGATTCTATAGAAAAACTTCTGAAATTCAAAATTTTTTTTATCTGAACTGCTAATACTTTAAAAATATCATTAAATAAAATTTTCTGGTTCTATTGTCAAGATTTGCCTTATTCTTCAACCTTTAAAGAAAATCTGTATTAGAAAAACTAAGAACTGTCAAAAACCAAATCTGTCTTGTAGGAGGTAATTGCGTCGAGCGTTCTCAAAAGGTTTCTATTGGACTGTTGGCATTCATTTCTATTTTTTTCAATTTGTTTTTAAATTACAATAATAAATACCATTTATCATCCATTGGCCTATATGGCTCAACTAAAAACACTACTTTGTAAAAAAAAAAAATTTGTTTAAGCTGTATGTATCAGAACTGGTCATAGTTCAATTGTATTGCAAATAGTTTTCTTAATAGAAGGCAATATACAGCTCTGAAATATAAAATAAAAACAAAAATGTTAGATTACTTCATTAAAAAAACTAAAAATCAAATAAGGAAAAAATCAATCAATTTGATAGAAAAATTTGCACCAATCAAATCTTTGGATCAGACCCCCTTACGTGGTGTTTTATTCTCTGTTCAACCCAAGACTTATTTATTTAAAAATATTGAAAGGAAATCTGTTTTATATATAATTTTGAAAAATGTCACCCGAGACCCTTTTTTTCACACATTCCTTCTCCCACCAAAAATACGCATTCACATATTAAGACTGATAACATCTTAAAAATAACAGTGGTTAGGTTTTTCGTTTTTCACTAATCAAAATGTACTGCTGGACTGGCTTTAATTTCCATTCTTTCAACTTGTATTTAAATAAAATAATAAATACCATTTATCATCAATCACCCAACATCAATAGAAAAATTACTGAAAAGCAATATTTTGATCAAAACTTATAACACCTCAAAAATATCATTAAATATATTTTCTGCTTTGAAATAAGTCAAGTATTTGTCCAGTAAATATTTCTATAGTAAGCTTTAAAGAAAATCTAATGGAAATTTTGTTATTTTTAATCCAATTAAATATATTTTTAATTCACAGTTCACCCAAGTTCATTGCCAAATTGGAAAATATTATGTATTACATAACCTCTAGATAAAATATGTAAATTATATCTGTCAAAAAACAACAGTAGACCACCCAAGCATGTAGTATTATCAACAGTGGATGAGATAGTGAAATGTTTGCCATTTTCTAACTCCTGTCAGAATATTTTCAATTTGCTCTTTTTATTTTATTATTTTTATACTTCATGCCAATTGTCAAATTTAACAGAAATGATAAAATGGTGTCGCTTCTTTTTCACCATTTACTTGTTGCTGGGTCCTCAACTCAACTAAATTAAATTGTGAGATTCTCTGTTATCTGCATGGTGTGAAGATACGTGCCATCGTTGGGTTGACCTGCTTGCCATCTTCAGTGTGCTACAAAAAAAAAAAAAAAGCAAAACACATCTGACAAATCATCCCAGCAAGAAAGGGATCAGCCAAATTTCATATCAAAATATTACCTGAATTTTATTAAAGAAGTTAGAATCTAAATCTAAAAAGGTGATAAAATAATTTAAAACAAAAGAAGTTTATTTACACAAGAAAAAAAATTGTACAACACTAAAATTAACAGAAATGAAGCCACTAAAATTATTCACACTTTCATATGTTCGACCAAATCTTTGAACTTTACCCAAGTAAAATTGAGGTGTGTTTTTTCTACTTCCTCGGTAACGTCAACACCCAGAGAACATCTAAAAACACCAAAACAAGTTCATTAAAAAATAAAATAAATTTTTTCAATAAGTTGCATACTTTGCTTGAATATCAACTTTGTCTAGATCGGTATAGTTGATTATGCCCTTCTGTGCCTTCCACCTTTCGACACCGTTCCAAGCAATCATAACGCCATTGTCTGAGCAAAGCTTGGGTGGTGGAATACAGCAACTGAGATTATTTTTCTCTGATATGAACCTAATGGCCTTTCCTATGAATGAATTGCATGCGACCCCTCCGGAAACTACCTTTAAAGATTTAAATTTAACTGGTTTAAGGCAAGGACAATTATTATTTTTTAATCAACTGTCTATACAATATAATTATTTATAATTGTCTATAGGAGTGAAATGTTAAGAAAAAATGACACTTTCTACTAAAGAATCCTCCTGGATCATATTGCAGATAAGTTAAACTAAAAAATATGTTATATTTCCTCCTGGAATATGCAGGATGATGACCTTGTATTTCCTTTGTTTCCGAACATTTTAGCCTATCAGCGAGGAAGGCAGACCTATATATTCAAAATTAAAATGACCAAATATATATTTAAATAAATGCTCCTTTATTATTTTATTTTGTTGTTAAGCTTTTCATCCAGTTTTTAAAACACTACCTTCATGCAGAACATATGTATCTAAGTTTAAAATAAATAAAAAATATATTTATGTAATATTATTTGTATACTTTTTTAGTAAAATATTTAGAAAGAAATGAATTGAATTAAATTAAATTATTTACGCGTTGATATTATTCTCATATCAATAATTATTGAATAATCTATCTAAATTTGAAGTTACAAAGTACAAAGTAAGTTTTAAGTACATCTAACTTTTTTTTGGTCGATCTTGAGTTCCATCATTAGCCATGGGCACTCACCAGGCATCCAGGGTGCCACCAACCCAGCCATAACCAACAAGCAGGGAGAGTGGATATTTAACATTCATTATCTTTAAAAATTATAATTAAAAGATAAAAGGGCTGAATAAAATCAGCACTTTTTCACTGTGGATTGAAGCAGAAAGTTTCATGACTTTGATATCCCTGCTTTGGTGCAGTCGAAATGCTAAAATAGTAGAGTCCTGCAAGTCCAAACTAACTGGGACTGAACTCTGTTCGGATTAAGGTGGCTCCAGACATGTGGCATACGCCGAATGCTGACTGCCGCCGAATATTTGCCAAGTCTCAAGATGCTCATCTTGGCATTCCCAAAATTAGCATGCCTAATACACACATGCAGAGTTTGTATAACCACCCATTTGTGTGGAAACTTAATATTCGCCAAGTGCCGAGTGAGACCTCAAATTACTACCAATCGTGACGGACAAAAATGAACCTGTCATTGCACCGGTTACTGTTTTGAGCAGTGGCTACAAACGCAGTCTCAGAGTACTGTTGAGCCATCTATTTCCGGGCATCAAAAAACTGATTTTTGTGATTTAGAAGAGAAGTGTTCCAAATTATTTTGGAATTTTTTATTTGGAATTTTGGTTTAGCTTGATTGAAGACTATGTTGGGCCAATCCATTCTTAGCCAACAAAAACAATGCTATGTCGTTCTTTCATTAATACATCTATATAAGATAGGAATCATTCTTTTTTTTTTTTTTTTTTTTTTTTTTTTTTTTTTTTTTTTTTTTTAAATGAGGGTTTGCAACAGCAGAGGTCATATCAACCCTCAGGGTGCCGGTGTTTCTGAAGAAAAAAAAAATTTGTATGTCAGGTTACGAATGCAGGGCCTCTGGATTCGAACCCAGAACCTTTCCCTTACAGTGATGAGCTCTGTGTCAATGCCTAAACCATTGTCGCCATCGACGCCCCAATCGTTCATAATTGAAAAATAAATGGCAGTAAATAGAAGTTATACTTTCGATCCAATTCCATGCATCAAAAACCTCGTTCCGATTTTTGTAATTTGGAAGAGAAGCATTCCAAATTTTTGGTTCAGATCGAGGAACTCTAAGACTGTAAAGTTGGGCCAACAGAAATAACATCATGTTGTTCTTTCATTAATTAATTATTATACTTTATACTTGTTGGAAATTATTACAAAATAAATATCGGTAAATAGAAGAAAATAATAACTGTTGTTTACATACAGTACAGTTGATTCCTGTATGTATGGATGCTTTGAGAGTTTGGCTATTTCATGAATATTCATGCACTTTGAAGCAGAAATAAAAAGAGATAAAACCAACAATTAGCCAAGCAAGGAGAGCACTGAATACTGTTGCTTGGCGAACAACCGAGCACCCATCACCACTAGTCGTGATTCGGTGGACCTTTGCTTAGCATTCGGCGAATCCCACAGTACAACTAGTCTGGTTTATTAAGGAATAAATACACAGACATAGTGGATCAGGTGTACACATTTGTTATCTTTGAAAAATGCTGGTCAAAAGTGATAGTGCATTTAAGTTGCTTCTGATCATCGATATGCCTAGTCTGGCTGTTTTGGACAAAAACCCAACACTGAAGATGGCAACAAGCCAAAACTTGCCTGCCGAATCAAAGCATTCAAAGGACCTAGACTACTGTCTAAACTAAATCAGATGTAGAATTTGGAGTAGGCAAAGCCACAATAAACCCATTAATACCTTTTATATTTAACTGAAAATTATTTTGCAAACTGAAAAATTTCTTTTTTTTTTGCCAATCAAAACATATTCAGATATAAAGATAACCCAAATATTCAATATTATTTTTACTGTTACAAAATAAAATGACAATAAAATACATACAACTTTGTTCTCGGAGTTAATAAGTTTCTGTTCTTTACAGAACACTATGGACCTGTGAACCCTCCTTAAGATGTGTTTTGTGACTGCGAACTGGACACTTGCGCATATATCCTCGACATTTGGCAAAATTTCATCCCCTTTAATGTCTGTATACAATAATACAATTAAAACTGTAAAATTATATTCTACCGTATCAGATAGGAATGAAACATTTATTTATTTTTTTTTAATTTAATACTCACCGTGTTTGTTTTCTTCTTCGATGATATAACTGCGCACTGAGTTCTTGATGCCAGCAAAGCTGAAGTTACAATTCTTTCTATGTAGAAGCGGTTCACTTATTGGGAAAGCGAGCATGTTACCATTTAACGCCGCTAATTCTACAGCTCGGCCGCCGCTCAATCCTTGATATTTGTTCAAATTGAACAACTTCAGTCTTCGAGCTATCTAACAGAAATAAATACATTAGAAAAAAATTGGCATATTTCAAGTCAGTGCATAGAAGGACCTCACCTTATCCAAGGCTTCACCCGGCGCATCATCATAAGATTTTCCCAGTAAAAGGAATTTTTCAATGTCTTGAGCTACTGCTATTAAACTATGCCCTCCTGATATCAAGACAACCAAAAATGGAAAATCAACCTAAAATAATAATGTTTAAAATATAAAAAAAATAAAAATTTGTTTAAAAATTAAATAATTATTAAATATTTGTACTGCCTCAGGTTGATTTGTGATCATTAAGAGCAAAAGTTAAAATTATTATTTAGATCATTCACAAGAGTAAGATTTTTTGTAGGCTGACACGGCCAAACAAACAGAAAGCTCAACTGATTGTTTACAGGCAAGAGCCATTTTCTATGTGTGAATATCTTAACCAACTGAACATGTTTCTAAAAAATTCAGAGAATGAATTTATTTTAACTTGTGACTTGCCTTTTCAGACCTTTTACCATTCATCACTGGCAGGATTGTAAAAGTTGTACTTGTAACTTTTTTTTAACGATTCAATATACCTTTTCAACCATACGAATTGTAAGAGCATGTGCTTCCATATGGTGGATTGGAATAAGAGGCTTTTTGTATGTTGAAGAGAGCTTTTTAGCACATTCAAGCCCAACTAGAAGGGAAAGTGACAAGCCAGGCTTTACGGTGACTGCAATAGCGTCCACTTGGCTCATTTCTAAATTGGCGATGGTTAAGGCTTTGGAAACAGCAGAATCTATGTTCTTCTTGTGTAAATCACGAGCAACAGGGGGCATGATACCTCCAAACCTGGAAAAAAATCTCGTTTTTATTGATATACAGAAAAATTCATTATAATGCTCCTGCTTATAACAATTTCCCGTCCCAAAACAATGTTTCAACAACAATTTTATTTGTTTTAATGCTCTGATTTCCTGGTTATATATAATGTTCCAATTTGAGATGAATTTTTTTTTGTTAAATGCACACAAAATAGGCTGTAAAAAAAATAAATTGTTTTGAGTCGAAACGAAGGACCCACAATTAACACAGGACTCGAAAGATCAAATTTCAGCCCTCATTTCTGACTTTGCTCCCTCAGACTTTTACAACATTGATGAGTTTGGGTTGTTTTTTAATGCCTGATAAATCTTTAGTTTTAAAAAATGAAAAATACCACGGGGGAAAATTGAGTTAGGATCAGTTAATGGTCCTTGTTTGCACTAACTCCACAGGAACCAACAAGAAAAAAACAGCTCAAGATCAGAAAGTACGCTGAGCCACATTGCTTTAAACACATTAAAACACTTCTGTGTTTATCCTTCGCTAACTCGGCCATGGAGATCAGTTTTCATAATGGCTACACGAGCTAATCCAAAAAATGTTGATCTGTAGAACATCAAGCTAGTTTTCTTGCCACCAAACACTACCATTGAGTTACAACCTCTTGTTCAAGGAATAACAAAATCCTGAAGCAAGCCTACAGAAGAAGGATGGTACAAAAATATCAATTATGGACAACTCATTAACGACAACTTTGCCAAAAAAATTTTATTGAAGATGCTATCCACTTTTTGCACACTGCGTGGTTGGATATTTAGAAAGAAAAAATTCTGAACTGTTTCAAGAAAGCAGGAGTTGGGAATTCAGAACAACACCAAAAATCAAAGAGGTGTTGTTGTTTGTTTTCTTATTTAAATTTTAACTTTTTGACTTTGGTTTGAGCATACATGAATGATGAAACTTGGGAAGACCTTATAACCGCACACGCTGAGTTAGAAAGTTTTGATGTTTTTGCTGATAATCTTGAAACTTCAAGCCAGGGGACTATAATCAAAGATCATTTCAGTGCATCGAAAGGCGATGAAGAAGATGCTAACCTGTAATAATCGTAACGAAAAACAACCAACGATGCGATCAAAACGCTTCACACACTTTTTTCCTTTAATACCGACATAAACGAAGAAACTTCAACAAAATAAACGAGTAGGAAAATTGCATGTTCAAAAAATGTGTCAAAAAGAGTTGCGCTAAAAAAAAAAAAAAATAAAAAAAATAAATAAATAAATAAATAAAAAAAAAAAAAAATTAGTCATGCTTGTACTAAAATATGTGATCATAATTTTTTTCTCTAATGTATAATTGAAAAGTACATTTTGTGTTTTATTTTATTTTATGTGTATGTACATATCTGCACAACCATTTTTATGTTGTTTTATACATTCTGTTTTTAAATAAATTTTATTCATTTTAAGCATGTTTTTCTGATTTCCCAGTAATAGTGCTTTCCTGGTTATAGCACTGATTGCCTTGGACCTCAGAAGAGCGCTACAACAAAATTTTACTGCCTTTATAAAAATTCACAAAAGAATTTAAATATTGATAAATTTTCTTTCTATTTGTTTAATTTTCTTTTAATGACCTTACAGTTTTAATGTCAACTAATCTAAATGGGTGAGATTCAGTTTATTTTTTAAGTAAATATTAACATTTTTAATCCAAAATTTCATTTAGGATCTCGGGACTAGGATAATTAATTAATAATTATAAAGGTAGCTCCAGACATGCGGTATTCACCGAATGCCAAACATTTGCCAAGTCTCAAGATGCTCGTTGGCATTCACCAAATAATATGCTTATGAATACACACATACAGGGTTTGTTCAACCACCCAGTCAGTCACAGAGCACTGTTGCCTCATCTTTCTTTCAATCCGTTTCCACACAACGAAAACCTTGTTGCGATTTTTGCGATTCGGAAAAGAAATGTTCCAGATTATTGGTTCAGCTTGGTACAGATCGATACAAGACTGTTATGTTGGGCCAATCAATGCCTGACAGAAACAACACTACGATATTCTTTTATTTATACATCTAAACTAGTTGGAATAGTTTATAATTGGAAAATAAATAGCAGTATTGATTGATGATTACAGTTGATATTCATTTAGTACAGTTGGAATGTACGGACGCTTTGAGTTTGGTTATTTCACAAATATCTGTGCACGTTGAAGCTGACAAGGAAACCTACAATTAGTCGTGCGTGGCGAGCCCCGAATAATGTTGCTCGGCGAATAACTGAGCATCTATCCGCACCAGTTGTGATTTGGTGAACCATTGACTGGCAATTGGCGAATCCTGTATGTACAGAGCCTCCTTAACAATGGTACAATCTCATGCAAGAATTTTGTGTACAAAACGGAAACTCCCATGGGCCATGAGGAGATTGATTATTTATTACAATGCAATGTTTATGAGAATAAAAATCATTCAATGCGATTTTTTGAGAGGAAGATGCTCGCAAGAGAATATCGCTTATTTATAATAATGGTAGAATCTCATGCAAGTATTATATATATAAAATGGAACGTACTCAATGGCAGTGACTTGCCCAGTGAAAAGGCCATCAGGAGGTTGCTAATTTATCACAAGGTAATGTTTATTAGAATAAAAATCATTCAATGTGATTTTTTGAGAGGAAGATGCTCGCAAGAAGATATCGCTTATTTATAATAATGAGCAATCAAACTCTTTAGGGAAGTACACTTCGGTCTTTCAAGCAGAAATACATGCCATCAATGCTTGCGCCCTGGAAAATCTTAAAAGAGGTTACACTGACAAAAAATCCTCATAAGATCAGATAGCCAAGCAGCAATTAAAGCATTAGCATGTAAAAGAATCACATCAAAACTAGTCAGTCAATGCATCCAAAATCTCCAAAATCTGGGGAAACACAACAACCTGATGATATCTTGAGTGCCAGGGGAATTTTGGGTAACGACAAAGCAGACAGTCTGGCCAGAGGAGGATCTGCAAGACCATACATAGGCCCCGAACCAATTCTTGGGATAACAGAAACAAATATAGAATCCTCCATCACTGAATGGATCCAAACAAAACAAAAATAGAAGTGGATAGACTAGTAGCGGTGCTAGACATAGTAAACGTATGATGAAACAACCCTCACCGAGACTGGCAAAAACACTGCTGCAATTGGAGAGGGCCAAACTCAGAGGAGTGGTAGGACTACTAACCGGTCACTGGTACCTGAGAAAACATCTACACAACATGGGTATATACCATGATGATCCCATTTGCAGATTATTTAATGAGGAGGAGGAAACAGCCACTCGTATCTCTTAGAATGCGAAGCAATAACTCAATGGAGATTTAACCTAACGTACGGGAAAAAAAAACAGGGAATCAAATTGCAGCAGCGACAGTAATAAGCCAGAAGGCTGCAGTTCCTGGGGAGTACAAACCCCGCTTCCTAGTATCCTTTTCCACCATACCATACCGTGGTAGATAGAAGTATTGTATACATAAAATGGAAACCTACTCAATGGTAGTGACTTGCTGAGTGAAAAGCTGAATGGGCCAAGAGGAGATTGCTAATTTATCACAATGAAATGTTTATGAGAAAAAATCATTCAATGTGATTTGCTGCGAGGAAGAGGCTCCAAGGATATCGCTTAGTTATAACAACAGTAGAATCTCATGCAAGAATTTTGTATATAAAACGGAAACCTACTCAGTGTGAATTTCTTGCTGAGAGAACAGGCTTTCACCCAGCAACCGTCCCTGGGTGTCCAGAACTGCAACACCCGTGTCGTCGCAGCTCGTCTCTATTCCCAGGATGTTGTGCAAACGCCTTACAGCCCTGAAAATATTCGGCCGGCATTGCCAACCGCCTAGGCTTAACATAGCTAAGCTGTAGACGTTGATGTAGAAGTAGAACCCCAACGGTTAAATTGGAACCTCGCAGCATGTTCTAACTTCAAAGCGTGCCAACCTCCAAGAGAATTTCGCCGGCAACGTCTTATTTTCGCGTGTTAAATGTTAGAAATTGAAAATATAGTATTTGTTAGAATTTAGTAGGAACGATCTTGTATTTGCGAGTCTATAGTGTGTTCCCTTAGAGAAAATTAATTAAGAATTTCATATTTTATATTTTGATAAATAGGATATTTTGAAAAATTAAATAGAAAGTTTGAACTAATGATGTTGATAAATTATCGTAGTGTAAATATTTCCTTGTTTGGGGTAAAAATTTGAAAGTACGTTTTTTTTAAATTAGAAAGGAAACTGCTTTTGTAGTCGATAGATAGCGTTGAATGTCCTTCAGAATTTTTATCTTTCTTTACTGGCGTCTGGCACTGGCAGTCCGATCCGAACTTTTGTCCTCCAGGAGCAGTACGTATCGTAAATCATAACGGGAAACCTGCCAGTTCGGAAATTAAAGTGCTACAGTTCACTTGGAGTGTTATCGCTTAATCTGCTGCTGACAGTCTTCCGTGCCAAGTCGTTCATTAACAAATACATGACTGTCGTTTGTTGAAAATTTAAGACTCGATTGATAAAGAAACTGCGATGTTGGAAGAAATCGGTTCATCACTGAGACGGTTCAGCTCCGTCACAGTCAAATACACACTTTGCCTTTTCAATCTTATCCTCTTGGTGAGTTTTTATCCACAAAAACAATAAAATATTTACAATTTATATTTATTTATTGTTTGCGTTTGTTTAATTATTTTTATATTTAGAAATTGTTAATATTTCAAAACAGGCTTCCAGGCTTTGCAGATGTGGCGCAGATAATGTGAAATATATATGTTAAAAACTAATTGACAACGTGATCTATTGCACAACATTTCGAAAACGGTTTGCAATGTAAATCCTGTCGATCCAGTTCTTGCCGTGTTATGTAACAAACTGCTGCCTAAAATTAAATTGGTCGAACGTAAATGCCTTGGGCAGCTGCTCGACCGTTACATTACAAAAAATATAATATTTTTCTCTTAACCCAGCCTTGAAAATTTGAAAAATTTGTTTCTAAAATAATTAATTAAAATTATTCTTTATTGAAAAAATAAAATAGAAAATGTATAGTTGACACCAACGTGTTAACACTCCTACCATCTCATTTTTAATAAATCCTGAATGTATAAAGTCTGCTTTCAGACTTGCAGACTTAAACTAATTGAAAATTGGGAAAATCAGTGGAAACAAACCACTTCCAACAAATTATGAAATATAAAAGACTATTAGACCTTGGGAAACAAGCTTCCAAATTTCCAGGTGTGATGAGGTTGTAGTATGTCGATTATGCATAGGGCATATAAATATGACCCACAGGCACCCCATGGAAAAATTTATACCACCAACATGCCTTTGGAGTAAACAATTAGATGAATTACACATACTTGTGCTCCCTTCCTTTTGTCTGAGGTTGGCTCGTTACCCCAAAATCCCCCGGACTATAAAAGAAATGTTAGGGAATGAACAGGAAAAAATTGGTCAAGTCTTTGAAAGCCTAAAAATGAGAAATCTATAAATTTATATAAATTTCCCCCAAAAATGGCTCTGTTCTTCCTGAGGGCTGGGCGTTTCATTCCTGGAAACTTTTTACTTTTTTAAGCCAGAATGGTCAGTCAGGTTGGAGGGTTTTACTGGCATTGGCACACAGGCAGACTCGGGACATATTTTCCTGGAGGCTTACTTCTCGCTGTTTGTTTTGCAGTCCCCTTTTTCTGGGGGAATTCCTGGAAATCATGGCATGGAAAAAGATGGGATAATTATCTAAAAAACCAATACCACTGGTAATACAAAGGCGATAATAACTTGATTTTTGCCTTAAAAAAAACAACAACCATGTTATGGTACTTTGGTACCCTGTGGACACACTAGGCACTTGGGGGAGGTAGTCTGGGTATTGGTGAAAATACACAAATACATATTACTGATTAAAGTTTTTTCTTTTATTAGCTTAAAAATAATGTACGTCTCTTATTGTATTATTATAATATACAATTAAAAATAAGCTTTTTTCACGTCATAATAAAAACAGGAATATGAAATCACAATTTGTTGAAAGAATAAAACAAAGCAGATAAAAATAGAAACAAATGGAATTTTAGAAAAATTACACACAAAAAATACAATATTTTATATTATACTATTTGATAATTCATTAGATTTTGTGGTCCAATTGACCAACTAACATCTTTCAATCAATTAAACTTTATTTTTATCTCAACCAATACTTTACATAAAGATTAACTATTTGATAATATTATACTATTTGACAAACAGTACAAACTTTGATTATTTGGAGATCGTGAGATGCGATCTGGCGTGACGTAGATTTTCGAAAAACATTTTCTTTATCGTGCCAATGTTTCGATCTTTATTGAGATCGTCTTCAGGGCTCAGTGTTTGTTTTCTGTGAAGATGTGTCATTATTGGGTGTCGTATTCAGATTGCCCTGTAGATGTGTCATTGTTGTTTGTTACAGGGCACTCTCAACACGACACCCAATAATGAAACATCTATACAGAAAACAAACACTTCGAGCACTGAAGATGATCTCAATAAAAGATTGAAACGTTGGCACAGTAAAGAAAATGTTATTTTAAAACCTACGGCTCACCAGACCACATCTCATGATCTCCAAATAATCATTAACTAACGGTCATTAAAAAACACACATTACAAACTTTATTTTACATCACTGAGTGATACTCTTCAAAGCAATTAACACAAAGCCCAACATTGCACTTTCCACATTGAATTGTAACCGCAGATGTCTTCTTTTTGGATTAACATTTTGTCCCAATACATCTTTTTGTTCCTCCCCAATTTTTTATCACCCAACCACGGGTGTTGACAGTCTGGGGTTAGACCTTGGTCTTATCTAGCCAGGTGCTGAGTTGGATTCCAGACTGTACCAACAGCTAGGTCATTTTAGCCCCAAATGCAATCAATTTCTAAATCCAAACCAGTTCATACTCACACTCACTCATATGTATAATACAACTCACTCAGTTAAGCTCGTGGTGTATCCGATATTCCTCCATCACTGTTATAACTAACTGAATCGAGGGTCGATGAGGTATTTTGAAAATTGTGCCATTGACCCTCTCACACTACACATTCCTGCTAATAAATACATTCCCTCTCAACACACGAGGGATACAAAACTATCAGTGTTGTATATTATAAGACCACGCTGTTTCCTCCAACGATAGGAGCAGGGGACCCAGATACTTGCTGCCGTGCTCAAGCATGATTCTCGTATCGGGTTTCATTCTTACATGCTCTATATGGAGCCAAGAAATTGCACCCTTCAAATAGGTTTTTCTACATGCCATACACCTACACGGATTTTGGACAAAAAGTAAATGTGTCGACCTTGCATAGCCTATTCTTAATCGTGTGAGGATGACCACTTTTCTTCAAGTCATATCCTCTGAGGACCATTTGATAGAGCTCTAGGTGTGTGAAATATTCTCTGTAGATCTGTGATAAGATGAATTTACCGTGAATAGATTTATTATTGTATTTGTGTTAAAAATCAATTCATAATTCAAGATTCAGTAAATTCTTTGTAGAGAAGCGTAATAAAAATAACCACTTATGTGCCCACTTGTATTATATATCAAAATAATTTCCAGCTGAAAGATGTCCAAGTATTTTTTCTCTGTATTGTGCGTGAATCATCTCTGATAAAGATCTATTGATATTTTATGTCTCAGCCTAAAAAAGGTCTGAAGGATGGACTATTGCTAAGTAGATTGTTATTGTGACTTTAGAAACCTGACAGAAAAAAAAAACAGCAATTTTTTCTAGAAATTTTTAAAAATCTTTACTACTGTGAAAAAACGTAATGGTTAATACATGGAAATCGTTTCAAACAAGCATTTAACATTTTTATTTTTTTGTTTTAATGGCTTTAAAACTTTTTGATATCGATAGTCGAATTAAATGATTTTCATTATAAATGAAGTTGGAATTAAACCTTTTATAATAATGTTTATGCTGAATGAATGGTAATTATCATACGAAGGTCATTAAGATTAATGTGCTTTATCTAAAATAACAAGTAAATAAACTTTTATCTCTTTTCTATAACTATTTTCAAACCTTGATAGCTTGGATGTCTAAAACAAGCTAAAATAGCTGAATCTTTTCTTTTATTCGTTTGTTATTTTAAATGTTCTGTTTTGGTTCTTTTTTTGAAATTACAAAAGAATAACTACTCTTGAACATGTTCATATAATGCCCATTCATGGCATTACGATTTTGGGGGAAGGGGGTGAAAATGGCTGGGGCAAAGGTGGAAACGAAAACCCCCGACTGTGGGTTCTACAAGCTAAGAGTTTATTGAGCTAAACACTCAGCTACCACAGTACTTGAAATCTGTATATTGTTTCATAAATACACTCATATATAATTTCAATTAATTATTTTTTTAATGTAAGGTCTTGGTTGAGATGAAAAGTTAGTATCACAAGCGGGATTCGAACCTACGTTGAGCCAAAGGTCATGGGTTCGAATCTCGCTCATGTCACGTAACTTTTTCATCTCAGCCAAGACCTTACATAAAAAGAATAATTAATTAAAATAATTTACATGGTCAATTAGGCCACTAAACATAAATGGACTTACATATAATTCAACCAAGACCTTACATACAAAGAATAATTAATTGAAAGAAGTAATTTGGTCAATCAGACCACTAAATATAATGGACTTATATATAATATTCTTTTTTTTTTTTTTTTATATAGCTTAGTGGAGTGACTCTGTTATGCTTGGGAATTATTATTAAAGAAGCGTACAAGGAATATGAGCCAATTGTTGATGACTCCTACTTTTCGGCCTCTACTTTACTTATTACTGCTGGTTCCCTTTTATTTGTCTTTGCCTTCTTCGGATGCTGGGGAGCGTATATGGAGAACTACCATTTACTCATTACGGTAAGTGCAGATTCAAAGATTCGAGTATATACAGTGTCGATTTTTTTAAAAATATTGTGTCGGTTTACAGTACAGCATCATGATTGGATTAGTGTTCCTAATTGAGATCGCTGCAGTTATCACCGGCTACTCCTTGTCGGAAAAACCAGAAGATATTTTGTTCAAAACACTCAACACGTCTTTCCACACGCAAACTAATGTATCAAAATTGTTTTGGGGCAAAATGGAGACAATGGTAGACTTGATAAATGTTCAATGATTATTCATAAAAGATAACACAAATTTTGCCTGTCTTTTACAGATGGACTGCTGTGGCATCAATAGTGTCGATGACTATACCCCGATGAATGTCACTGTTCCTGGAACATGTTGTCATAGGGCTTACAATGAAACTTGCCCTGGAAATGCGACTTACTCCCCTGGATGCTTTGACAAAGTAAAGAATATGATCGAAAGAAATGCACTGACAATTGGTACGGGAGCTTTGAGTGCAATATTGTTACAGGTGGGTGGTTCAGTTATTTCTCAGGCTTGAACTCAAGGATTTTTAATTTTTTTCTTTCTTTTTAGATTATTGGAATGTTCTGTGCATTATGCTTGGCCAAGTCCATCATGAATTCATACGAGACATTGTAAACATCATATCTCCTAACAATGATGTCTGATTTTAAAGAGACTTATTATTATTTTTTTTGTTTATGTAATAAATACTTTTTTTATTTGAGTCTACAGATTCTCTCGAATGACTTGAAATGTAAATTGTATTTGTCCTTAAAAATTTCTTGTCATCTAATTTGTGATATTAATTCACTAAATTGATCTTTTTTTGTTGCTAAATTATGTGTAATACTTTTATACCTAGCTACCAAATTATCTTTTATAATTGGATAAGAGTACCAACATTTTTGTTTTTGTGTGTAATAAACATTGATTTAAACCCTTAAATTTGTATTTGCCTACATAGGAAAATCTAATTAATCTATTAGGGATGGGGGTGTCGGTAGCCATAACGGTTTAGGCGTTGACACAGCAGTAAAGGTCTCGGCCACTGGATTCGAACCAAACGAGTTTTTTTTTTTTTTTTTTTTTTTTTAAGAACATCGGCACCCCAAGGGTTCATATAACCTCATAGTTGAAATACCCTCATTTAGAAGAAAAAAAAAATGGGCATTACGTGGAGGTTTTGTCGATACACTGTCCAGGTGTTTTTTCTGTGGGAAGAGAGCAATGAAAATAGTTTCTTCTTTTATTAGTAATTTGACAACCTGAGTGACAATGAGAGATTGTAAGTTAATAAAATGGGAGAAAAATATGACAAGTGTGAAAGATATGTGCAAGAACCTCCCCCCCCCAAAAAAAAAAAATGTACAAAGCCAGCAATTTATATTTCTACTAATAGATTAATAGAATTTAAGAATATTATGTCCTGACTAAATCTACTAATGGTATAGTTTGATATTCTTATCGCTAAGAGATAAAACATAATCTAACGATAAAACAGTGTAAAAAATGAGGAGTAATCGATTTTTTAAATTAAAAAAATTGCCTTGTACAACAAAAAAATTTAAACTAAATTAATAATCAATTGAAATAAATTATTTGATGCTATATATACTTTCATCAATTGCTTTATTTATTTATTTTTCTCATATATTAGTTTTTAAAACAGAAAAATTTAGATAGGTCATAATGATGTCTGTCCTCACGTTCTATTAAGTTCCTAGGGTGTTGGACTTGTATTTGTTATGCTAGTGTCATGGGTTTGAATCCCCACACAGCCATAGGTTTTTTTTAATAGAGAATAGTATGAACAACTAGGGGATTGACTGACCCCCTCCATCCAAGATACCAAATTTGAATATTAAGTCTCCTAATCGAGACTTAATACTTTAATTCCATTAGATTTCGTGGTCCGATTGTCCAAATAACTTAGATCAATTAATTAATCTTTTTATATAAGGTATTGATTGAAAATGAAAAAGTTAGTGCCACGAACGGGATTCGAACCCACGGCCTTCGGCTCAATAAGCCGCTGCTCTACCACTTGAGCCATCGTGACTTCGATCCACTCGGACATCAACTTCCCATCTCAACCCACCTTTCGAATTTTCCCTCCTTTTTGCCATTTTTCAAATGTCGCGTAACCTATTCAATTCTTGGCAATAAATGAAATGGCCACAGAGAGCTTTAGTGAAAATATACTTCATTTTACTTATTAAGTCCATTAGATTTTGTGGTCCGATTGACCAAATAACATCTTTCAATTAATTAATCTTTATGTAAGGTATTGGTTGAAATAAAAAAGCCAGCTCACGAGGGGATTTGAACCCATGACCTTTGGCTAAATATGCCACTGCTCTTCTACTTGAGCTATCGTGACTTCCATCCACTCGGACTTTAGTTTTAATGATGATGTGCGTACAGTACATGAACAAGTTTGTGCTAATAATCTGAAAAGTACAAATAATAATAATAAATAATAACCGAAATCCGGACTGGTGATGCTGTAAAGAGTACTTTAGAATTATTTAAAAGTACATTGGCAGCTTCAGTGAGCCAGATCGTGCGTAGCTTGTTAAAAGCACAGTTAATTGATGGCCCACCAACGGTCTGAAATGAAAGGAAGGGATGAGGCCATTTGAGGATAGGTCATACTTGATAGTCACACAAACACCATGATATGTAACAATTGCATCGATATTTGTTTTCTGTTGGTTTTCTTCGCTGATATAAGCTAATGGACTAAATTACCTAAAGTTTAGAGTTCATTAGATGGATGTCAGATCATCCTTTTAAAACTAGGAGTTACGGCCGTATTATCTGTACAACCATTATGAGTCATCCAATATGCTCAGGATTTTTGATATTACACAGTGTAGTTCTCTTGGTAATTACTTTATATAAGCTCAATTTTGTGTATGTAAATAAACACTTGTACAGAGCTGAGTGTAATGGTGTCAAACATCAGTCTTGTCCATTATGCCACTGAAGTTGGGCTCCAGGGGCTATCCTCAACAGCCAAGTCGTTTTAGCCCCCAATGCAATCAGTTTCTAGATCCTAACCCACTTACACTCTTACTCATTCTTAAATATATTCTTTCCTATTTACATGCTATTCACCCATTGATATTTGATATTCTTCCATCACCTTCTATACATATTATGTAACTAATCTAATTGAGGGTTGATAGGTATAAATATTCTGCCATTGGCCCTCTCACACTACTCATTCATGGTAAGAAATACATTCCCTATCAATATATGCAAATCAACACTATAAAGAATCTTCATGGCCTGGGATTTACAAACATCGTTTACAACTACATTTTGGATGTGGAAAAATGAATTTATACAGTGCAAAATATATATTTTTATATATTCAATCAAAGTATTTCTACATTCTTTTCACCTCAAAGAAGCCGACGCCTTATGCAAAAATGTCTTTTCTATACCGACCGAGATCCTGAAGATGATCTCAATAAAGATCGAAACGCTGGCATGATAAAGAAAATGTTTTTCTGAAACCTACATCACACCAGACCGCATCTCACGATTTTTAAATAAATATCGATTAACGGTCACTAATCACCACACATTACTATAAAGAATTATTTTCAGTAAAACAGTGTACCCCAATACTTGTTGCAAACTCAAACCCAATTTTCATGTTGGGTGACATTCCTACATGCTTTCTATATGGAGCCAAGGAATGGCACCCTTCAATAAGTGGGCATTAAGTGACCTATACCTACATACTTGGGCTTTGGCTCAAAAGTAAGGGTCCATATCCAGGCAACAAACACATTTTGCCAAGATGCTCCGGTTTATGGTATCTCTCTAGGAAGAGCATAATGAGAGGGTTGACAGAGGATCATCTCTTGTAAATTTAATCTAAACATGAGATATCTAACTTTTAATGTTAGAAGTATTTTATACCTTAAATTCTAGATCTACCATTTCCTACAAACGTGTGTGTGTGTTTTTAACATATAATTATTTGAGTAGATTTTAAGCTAGAACAAGGTTTTAACAACAACAAATAAACTTTGAAAAAGTTTGATTTGTTTGTGTGTTCTTGCATGTAATATCTATAAAAAGACATGGGTTTTCAGTTTTTGAAACTTTAATATTAACAAGGACGTAAATTATTATTTACAAAAAAAATCAATTTACTTCCTTAATAGACTCATATATTTATTTTTATAGATACATTAAATAACAGTTTTTATATCAACACATGATATAATTTTCCCTTTGGACACAATTTCATATATATTTTTTATAACATACATACATGTCTATAGTTTACCAACAATTTTTATATCAACACATGATATAATTTTCCCTTTGGACACAATTTCATATATATTTTTTTATAACATATATACATGTCTATAGTTTACCAACAACTATGTACAATTAACACTAAATGCATTACTTGTAAGGGATTGTAATTCTCATTGTTAGCATGTATTAAACCAAATTGCGATCCCTTATTTTATGGAATTACATAATATAGGATTGTCTTTCATTTAATAATCTTATATCAAAATTAATGCCACACACATTTTATTGTTGTATTTACACTATTTTGTAACATTTATATAATTAATGGAACATTAATATTATTTCATTTTTTTTATTTCTTGTATATGAGATCTTGAACTTATTATTAAATGGTAAAATATAGTTTTAGCCTACTTAAATTAATAAGTGTTTGTACACAAGGAATGTTAAACCATGTAGTAATTCTATTTAAGCCGGAAAAAAAATTTTTTTTGAATAACCAATTTACGATTTTTGATGTACCTTTTTAATATTAACAAATATAACATGCAATAAACACATATAAACATTGACATTATTATTATTTTTTTAAAAATTCAGTTATTAATGACTATTAAGATATTTCGGAAAGTTAAAGGGAAACTAATCTAAATGACTAGAACATTATGACTGTTACCTGTTGTGAATGTTTAAAAAAATAAATTTTATTAATATTCAAAGTTATAATTTTGATTGGAAAAGTGGGTAAAAAAGATATATATTTATAAATTTTTATACAAAATAATTATTTGTATTTTCTTTAAAATAATAGGATTACATTGATAATTCATGGCCTAGACGAGGTTGTAGAAGAAGTAATGAAAAAAAAAAAAAAAACATTGTGTTTGGCATATATATACTCTGGCATACATTTAGGATATATACAAGATCTTTTAAAGAATTTCTGTGCATAAACAGAATTTGACTAGGTTAACCAACCCTGTTTTCCATTAAGATCTATGCATTACAAATACCCAACCTGATCGGAAACAATTTTTTTTTTATAAAATATATTATGTGCTCATTTGCATAGCCATAAGTGGTTTTTTAGTTCAGAAAAAAATTTAATAAAACAAACCGATATCATAAACCAAAATTGTACTAAAATGTGATTGTCACTGAATGTCAAAATTGGTGTAAAAACTTATTTCATTTCTAAAGAAGCAAAAGATTAATAAAAAAATGTTTAATTTACAAATCATTCAATTTTATACTAAACCACTTCCTCTTTTTTAAGTTATAATCTACATGAAATTCAAAAGTACTTAGTTTTAATATTGGAGATTTTTTAAAAACACATTCTTTTGTGGTATAACCTAAATGTTAAAAACAAAACATGAAATGTTCAAAAGTCCCCCCCCCCTATCGAAGAAATAATTTAAATAATAAGACAAACACTAAACATTAATGAGTAATGAGGCTAACATTTGATCAAACTTTAAAGTATTTCACAGCACAAAACCATTTTATGTTTAAAAAAAAATACATATTAAAATTGCAATAAATGTATTAACTACACCAATGTATTTTTACTAAATAAAATTACTGCATATATTATCCAATATATGGCATAAAAATATCTTAATTGGTTCATTTTTTCTAGGGTAGGGCAATTTATTTAAAAAATAAATTCAAACTCCACTCTATCTTTGAATTTTTATACTTCATTTATTGATAGACTGAAAATAAATTTAAATTCAGTGACTGTATGAACTAGAAATTTTTATTTTTTTTAAATGATAGTTTGTCATAACCACTTACAATCACAAAGTACAAATTAGTTGTTTTTTAAATTGATTTTTTTTTTCGACAAGTAAAAATTGTATGTAAATATACAACTAAATTAAACATTAAAATTTGTGAGTATATTGTTTAGGAAATTGTAATCTCCAGTAACACAATTAAGCATAAAACAAAATAAATCAACACAATATAAGCCAAATATAGCTCAATCTTTTATATAAAAATGTTCTTATTGTTAACAATGAATCAAATTAAATATTTGACTAAATAAAATGACACAAGCCTTCATGATGTATTAACAGCCGATTATCTTGGTCCTTGATGCCAATGTATAATTGTACTATGGTATCCCTAGCCTTATTACCAGTTCAATTGTCAATTTTCAACAAACATCACTCACTATTCAGTCAGTTTTAATAATTTAATTCTAATTGTAAATGCACATTGATATTCTGTAATTCAAGTTGGTCAAACTAGTTTTTCGGCAGGGGTAAAATGTACAAAATGGTAATTTATAAATTCTATCCTGCCTTGGAATGGGCACATTTTGACGAGGCGTATCTGCACATTGCAATAAATTTACAAACAAAATAGAAATAAATACAAAACGGAATGATCATACTGTGGTAATTTTTATGGCTTTATGCTACGATAGACTAAACCTTCTGACAGACAAGCAATATGGTATAGAATATTCTACTTCTGATGTAAAAAAATATAAAATAAAAAAAAATAAAACAAGCAAGACTAGTCTAAAATGCATTTTGGTTTGTTTTGTTTAGAGAAAATGGCCATTTTATTACCCAACGGGAGATTCGAGTTGATGTAAATAATATTATCTCAACACTTATCATAGAACGTCATACTAGTACTTCTTTGCGTTGGTATTTTTTTAAATAAAATTTTTTACACCAAAATAAGCTCATTCATGAAATAACACAATTTTCTAAAACACGATTCAACGATATATAAATTAATTATGATTATAAATGCTTGTAGAGTTAATCCACTAGCATCTGGTGTTTCATGTGGGGTCATCAGTCCTTGCCGGGAGGGAGGAAGACGATGTGGCCAGATTCCAGCCTCCACCCCAGTCTTCCTGAGTAAGGTCGGAGTCACCGCTCACACTGGATGAACTGCCACCCAGTCGTACTTTGATCCGGACAGGCCCCGACCTTTCCTCGATGCTCCCGGCTCTGGTGACAGTGATTTTTGGCCTGCTCTGCCTCAATACGGTGGGCCTCTGGGCTGTCAAAATACTCGTGGAAGTAGCACTGTGCCGCAAACTAGGAGTCCTTGGAGAGTTGTGACCTAAAGCGCCAGTGCTGACGGGCCTCCAGACCCTCTGCGGAGTGAGTGAAGGTCGACGGGACGGTGTCCTCGCTTGGATTTCCTGATCTAGTTCGCTTTTGGTCATCTTTTTCCTCCAGTAGTGTCTGAACGCTCTCCTTAGAAGTTTGTTCTTTAAGCCGTAAAGGAGGCCGTTTAAGGGCGGCGTGCAAGCCAATAATCCAGAAGCGATTGTTAGCATCCTGTTATAAAAAGCAATAATTTAAAATTCAAAATTCAACTGAATAAACATTCTATCAACCAGTACTAAATACATTACCCTTCTGATGGTACTTTTTCAACAGATTGCCAAAGTATAAGGCAATAGTATGGGACGTATAATAGTAAAAGAGAGCCGACCAGTTGGAGGATACTCGTGGAAGCGGATCTGCCCCGTGCACCACTGCCACCACTTGACGCGACCAGAAATGGGTTCTTCTGGTGGGTGATGGTCACTTGGGCGGACAATGTGACTTCAAAAATTGCCCTCGCGATTCGATGCCTATGATACCTCGCTATCATCAACACCTAATAATCAGAACAATTATTGTCAATTTCCTTTAACCTAGATTTTAAATATTAAACAAAATAACACAGTAACAACCATTTGGATAAACATTTATATTAACAATGTTATAAATATCAACCACTTTTTCACTCACAAACACTCTGGATCAAGATATAGTCTTAAGAAAAAAGCAAATGCAGTTGTTACTGCCAAGCTTTCGACCTACTTTAAGGTCATCATCAGAGCAAAAAATCTTAAATATGTCTACAGATTAACATATTTAAATTTTTTTTGCAGGCGAGCTCAAATTTCCTGGAAGACCAACACAGTCCTTGGCAATGTGAGGACTGAGTCGGTCTTAAGGAAATTCGAGATCGCCTGTAAAAAAAACACTTAAATATGTCGATACTCCCTGGGTGCCACGAGTACTCTTCTTTTCCAACGAGATATCTAGCCTGTTAAATTTTCAAACAAATCTGTACAATGGTTACTTCTGCTCAAATGATTAATACAAACATTCCGTCCTTGGAATTCATGAACTTAACAAAATGGTCATTTGTTAATATACTATTAAAAAACCTGGAGCTGGCTTATAACCATACGTGGGGAAGCACAAGTCTTATCTGATGGGTGAGTGCAACAGGCTCTTTAGACACTTTAACAACTCTTCCTTACAAAAATTAACTGGAATTTTTCTTTTTTTTCCCTGACATTTGCTTCTACGGACGTATTTCTGACCCATGGCTGATATTTTGGTGGTAACAAAACATTTATATAACTATTTGAAGGTAGACGAATTGGATTAACCCACCTTCATGTTGCAGGCCATGATGAGCGCGGCTGGTAAGAGAAGAGTGAGAGCTGTGTAGGCGACAAAGTACCATCGGGCAAGTTTGTCCTCCAGCTTCGGCAAGCAGGTGAGCAGGCCATTATTGTAATGATAACTGTGGTTATATAGAGGTGGCAAAGCGAAAGAAAGCGAGAGGATCCAGGCGATGGCCAGCCCGAGGGCCACTTTCCTCGGCTGGACAAGGGATGCGTAATGCAGTGGAGCGGCGATTGCGACGTACCTGTCACAATTCAACCCGCAGAGGGTATAGAGGGCTAAAGGGTGCAGGAGAATAAACAGAGAACCGGCCAAGGAGCAAGGGATGAGGGTCTGCTGCTTAACAATCGCCGGCGACGATGAAACGAGAAAAAGGACGCATAGAAGGGCACCTATTAAACCCAAATGTCCAAGAAGTACTCTTCCACCTCCTCCACCTTCAACCTGCAACAATAACACAAGATGTTTCTATAGTTATGCGTGATCAACGAAAATAAATTTGGTGACTATAGGCCTTGCTAATCATAGTGTAAACATAGTACTTTATGGTAATTGGATTGGCGGCAGTAGTGGAATACAAAAGTAAGTTTACTTTTTTTTACTTTTATCCCTTTTACTTTTCTAATTATCACTCGATTTTATCCACGTATATAGTGTTTTACACTGTTTGTTGTTTGATAATAATTAACTTGTTCAGACTCTTAAGCTTTAACAAGGAATAAAATAATACATTAAAAAATTGTTTGTAATCTACCATTTTAAATGTGGACTTATCTGAAGACTAGTACCTAATTTAATTTTAACTTTTTCATACACTTTTTATCTAAGTTGTGCGTGTTTACTGTCGACAATCAGCGATATTTATATTTGACGGTTTTGTTCCTAAAGACTAAGATCATTGAGTCCCGCCCCTTTCGGATTTGGTAATTTCATTCATGTTTGTTCTTATTTGAAATTCAACCTTAGGAAGAGAAAATGACCCTGGACAATCGCAATTTTTAATTAAAACATATAATTTACGGATACATATATAACTATTTACATATTTACATTGTGGGGAGCAAATATGAGGTCACGGGCCATTTCTTCTTGAGATGCCTTATAGGATTATAGGGTCCCAACCATAGATGGGTCTAGGGGACAAGGTGAGCAAGCAATCAATTTCTCAATAAATTTTTGAGAAATTTATTTTTGGATAAATGGAATTTTAAGTCGTTGTGGATGGTAACATTTGAGACATAATACAAAACATTAATAACTTACCAGTGGACTTTAGATTCCCTCCAAAACCATTATCTACTAAAGAGATCAACCAGGTCTTATTAAACTTTTCCAAAAAGAAAAACTCAGGTTACGACCTAATCATTCCCATCATCCTTTCACAACTACCTAATAAAGCCAGTATTTTCATAACTTACCTATTCAACGTCGTTTTACGCACAACCCATTTCTCTACTCTTTGGAAATTTTATTCCATCAGGATGATCCCAAAATCCAGTCATCTTCTTAGCTCCTCCCGACCCATCAGCCTTTTGCCCATTATTGGCAAAATACTGAAAAAGCTCGTATTGATCCGCCTATCTAAGGAAATTTCTAAAAATACAATTCCCATTACCAATTCGGCTTTCGGAGTTGCGACCATCCAACAAGCACATCGCACAATAGGCGTTATTCCCACATCCTTGAGCTAAAACAGCTATATTACCCGGAATGTTCTTGTATGTAAACCAAGCCTTTGACCGAGTATGGCACCCTGGACTATTTTGGAAGCTCGAGAACATCCTACAAACAACCTATTCCCTTACCCTAATATCCTATATTAAGTTCATTACGTCCAAGTATCCCACAAAACTTCGTTATCCCCATTCTATTTATTCTAGCAGGTATTTCGCAGGGCAGCGTCCTCGCTCCTCTGCTTTACTCAATTTATACCTCCGACTTACCATGCAACCTAACACTTTACCCTCATCTTTTCCAATGATATTGTCATCCATTCTTCCGACAAAGATTCCGTTACATCTTCCTGTAATCTTTACAATCACTTTCTTATCTTCCAATCTTGGCTCCGAAAGTGGAGAATCAACTTATAGCCTACAAAACGCTACTATAACCGATCTGTACTTATAAAATAGAACTTTCCAATATCCGACATCTCCAATTCTTTCAATCTTTAACACAGCATTCGTTCGAGGTAACAAGTAAACCATGTAGTATACACATACAGACAATAGAATGTAAACATGATTAGTTCTCATCCAGGGATAAAAGCCATTATTTCATTATTGTAGAGAGACTCCGACATGGAGACCGATGTCAAGAAGTGAGGTTGTCGCGGGGCCTCCTGTGAGGATTATTACGTAACGTTGTTGATGACAGTTTTTTGACGAAAGGGTTTAGATGACGAGATCCGTTTGTAGCGGGGTTGAACTAGAAGAGTAACAAGAGGAACATTTAATTCGGTATGGATGGTGTGATTGGAAACATAGAAAGGAGCATTGACTATTGTTCTAAGGATTCTACCCACAGAGACATCTTCCCTGTGGGCCCAGGCAAAGTCCCACCATCAACCCTGGTGCCTGGAGGTAACCAATGATGGAGGCATTATCCCAAATACCTTCCTTTCCCTTTCCTTCCCTTTCCCTCCTCTGCTTTGGCAGAGGTCTCCTGGGTTACTGAACCCGCACCCCTCAGGCAACGGGTGCATCAGTAGGGAGTTCGTAAGATCTCCCAGGTGGGCCATCAGTCCACCCTAAAAATAACACCAAACCACGGGAGTGGAGCATCCAAGCGGCTCCGCTAATTGAGGTTGGACTCGTGGTGGTCGTGGTTTGTAAACAAATTGTACCTTAGCTGGAGGGTACCGGCCAACTGGAGCCGAGATAGAGTGCCTTCTCTATCTCTCCGGGGGTGGTGAAAGGCATGGCCAAAAGGCAGTGCTGGAAACCACAAAACTGCCTTTTTTAAGGCACATGTATGGATGTGCCCTTCTTAGTGCACTTCTGAACTCGGCTAGTATTGCACCACCTCGCTGGCCAAGGGATGTGACAAGTCCATGCATGTAAAATCTTTCTGGTGTTCTCTCGAGAACACTAGGCGTCTGAGAAGTCCCCTTGGGGATAAGTCCGGACGTTAAAGATCCTCATGGGTCTCAACGCCCATGAGTAAAGATGAGAACATCTGTTTTAAGGATTTTAGATTGAAGGGATTGGATTCGATTAAGGGTAACAGGGATGGGAGCATAGTTGAAATATACTGGTGGAAACGTGTTCTTATTTAATGAGTTTTTTGATTTCGTCGATAGCTTTGATTATCTCCTATACGCTTGTAGAGTAGACCATAGCGTCTGTTAGTCTTGCCTTGTATACTGATTCCATGTTAAGCATGAGTCTAGATGGAACCCGAGGTAATGAACTCAGTTGATTTTGAGGGATAGGAACGTTGTTGTAGTTTATTGTGAGAACAGATTTTCTTCGGAGTGTAATGTGGCATTGACGCACTTGCTTCCATTTATCTTCAATTTCCATTATCTATACCAATCTGCATTACATGTGCTGTGTCTCTGCAATCGAGGTCAGAGGAGAGTTGTGACATCAACTGTGACATCGGCAAAAGATGCAAGGTGGGTGATAGGTTAGTAGGAACATCGCCCGTATAAGGATATGGAGGATTGGTCCGAGCACACTGCCCTGCGGTACTCCACAACAAAAATCTTATTTCCAAGTAAAGTTTCTCGCAAAAATATAACGTTTTATAAATCATTAACATTAAAAAGTGTAGTAATTAAATATTAAGTGGCATGTGTATACATGTCCAAAGGCTTACAAAAAAGCATACGTATAATTTTATTTAACAAATTTTTAAAAGCGTCCCATAATTTCTATTTATTACTAATCTATTCGATCCATGGTCACAAATTTTACCCGTTTAAAGATTGATGGCAGGGATAAATTATCTATCTAATGATGTTGTATGATTAAGGTTAACGCAACGGCCGGAAAGTCATTAAATTTGCTTTGGTTGACGTAATTGAGGGCCACCTGTTTCCAGAGTCTATTAATCGCCTAACGTACAACTAATACTATCGTTAATAATGTACAGCTACTTAGCAATATTCTATTTTATGGATTGGAATAATAATTCGTAATGTTTTTACAAACGATCTGGCCAAAAAAGGCAACAAAGTTTTGATGTAATTTACGAGCTTCGTCCAATACAACCAACCGCTTATCGAAAATATTTTACTGGTTACCTCGTTCAAATGTTTGAATAAAAATTGATTAAAACATATAAAAATTGTTGAAAAAGATAGGGAATCTGAAAAAGTACTGTCCACTTCGATTATATATAATATATATTGTGTATGGTGTGTTCAGGCCCATAAGTAGATGTTCTCTTATTGCAAAGGATTCGTTTGTCTCTGAGTACTTTGTAGAATTTTGAGTCAATTGATTAGCATGGGTTTGTCAAAGGGTGTTCATAACGAACCTAATGTTATTCTAAAGACTTTATTTTAAATTTTTGTGTCGTCTACACAATCTACGCTACTGATCTTCAATTTTACCTTTGCCGATGACACATTCACATACTTATCTCCAACAAAGACATCAAATAATGCAACTAAATCTAAACACCGGACCGCGGTAGCCGAGTGGTTAGCATGAGAGACTCTCACGCCGCGGTCGTGGGTTCGATTCCCACCGTTGCCCCTGACCCTTTTTTCACAATAACCCCCTCAAATTTGAACACACATATACGAAAAACACGTTTTTTCACTTTTAACAAAAAACTCTCCTTCCTTTATATTTTAATAATCTTCCCATCTCCGTGGCGAACACGTCCGATACCTTGGACTTACCTCGACAAACGACTTAAATGGAATCCCCAAACGAGATTCAAAAGTAAAAATTTAAATGCAAATTTCAGACAGCTAAAAAACATGAATAGCGATCCAAACTTACAGTGACAAACAAAAAAAGACTATGTAATGCCTTGCTATCCTCACCATGGTCATATGGACTAGGACTGTACGGAACCGCTAAGCTACTACAGACTACAAACCCTACAGTCTAAAATTTTTCGAACGATAGTTAATGGTCCCTTTTATTTCTTTAACCATAGAATTCATACCGACTTAAAAATCCCATTCGTGTCAGACCGTTATAAAAATTTCCATTCGAAATTACCCGATCACTCAATCCGCGAATTGTCATCCTCAACATTACCCGCCAATCCTCGCGACGTTAGCCACGCGACAGCATAGTTGTCTAAAATCGTCAAAGGATAGTTGCCAAGTGCTCTACCCTGTTGGTGAACTAACGGCTCCCATCACTGGATGGACGCCGTTCATATCTTACATGACTTTTTGTGTTGGGTCATACAACGCTGTGTGCACGTTTACATAATATAATATCAATCTCAATATTTTTGCTTGTTGCATATTTAAA